TAAAAATAGATGTTTTCTTTTTGTTTAGTTTTTTTTTATTATTCTTTTTTTTTCTACATTGTAAAATTTTATCATTCCACTATAAAAATTTTTCTCTAAGAAATTTATTTTTTCTATATCATTTAATACACTCAGAGAAATGGTATATTTGTCTCCAAGCCTACTAACTCATTTATTTGTTGCAAATAAATTTTATTTCATTGAAATAAAAAATTTATTTGAGCCAAAAAAAAATTTATTTTTGGCAAATAAAATTTTTATTTACGCCAAATAAATAAATTAGTAGGCTCTGAGACAAATATACATTTATTTAACTCAAATATATTTTATTTGGTCCAAATAAATCATTTTTCTGGATGTAGTGGAAAAAAATTTCAAATTCTTTTTTCGTATAATATTTCATGTATTTTTGTATTGTAATTGTTATAATTTTTTTTATGAACAAAGTATTGGAGAAAAATTTTGTAGTTTAATTTTAAAATATAAAGGAAACATTGAATTCTATTTTACAAATAATTATGTAATTTATAATATATAATTTTTGTTGGAAAAGGAGGAAACTTTTTAAGAATTTATTTTCCTGGAAATTATTTTTAGTAAAAAAAAAAAAAAAAAAAAGTTGACAGATTGAATTGAGGAAAATTTTATAATTTAAAATAATTGCAGAATAATAAAACAAATATTTTTTAATAACTGTTTTTAAAATTAGATTTTGATTAGAAAATTTTTTATATAATTTTTTTAATGTTGTCTATTTTTTTCGTTATATTTGTTAATTTAGTTTTTTTTTATTTATTAATGAAAAAAGTGTCCTACTTATAAAAAATGTTTTTTTTTTGAAATAATTATTGGAATAATTAGGTTTTTTTTTCTTATATATATATACGAGAGGAGTGGCTTGTGGTTTGGAGTTCCCGGAGAATGTTTCTCTCTTAAAGATATAATGACGTAGGCAAACTCGCGTACATACGTAAGATATCGCGAAAGCTAAGAGGAAAAATCGTCACAGAGGATAATGACACTTTCCGGTAATATTGGAGAGGTCAGTTTTTCCTCAATAATTTTTTTTTTTTTTTTTTTTATCGATATATTTAAATAGAATAACTATAAAATTAATTTTTCATAAATATTTTTATAAAATTTTTTTTTTTTTTTTTTTTAAATTTTATTTTCAAAAACAAAAAAAAAGTATATTAAATTTTTGTAAATTATTTAAAATAGAAAAAGAATAATTTTTCAAAAAACATAATTGAATTAAAAATATAATTATTTTGCAATTATATAAGTAAAGACGTCACATGAGAAAAAAGTTTAAAGAGTGATATTTTATTTAATCAACAAATTATTATGTATCTGAATTTATGATTAAATTATATTATTTTTCCCTTATATACAATAATTAATCGAGAATTAATAGAGATCAGAATTATTATTAAAAAATTAACTGGTTTATAAGAATGAGTACCTAATTATTACTAAATCATTTCTTTAGTGGAAAATTTTTATAAAATATTATTAAATAAATTATATCTGAAAAGATAATATTACTTTTGATATGAATTATATTATTTTTGAAAGATAATTAAAAAAATGTTTTTTAATTTTTATTCATGAAGAAACTGAAAAATACACACATTAAATAATAATTTTTTTTTTTTTTTTTTTTTTTGAAAAAAACTATTATACTGAATGAGAAATTCATATATACATTAGAATATTCCAATTAGAAAATATACGTTATTCTTATACATTAATAACGTATTATTAATTGATCGAGTTGATAATTTATTTCACAGTCAAATGGAATTTTTATTAAAAGACAAACAGAATTTTTTTATTAAAAATAATTAACCTACAAAAATAGCGGAACTAATTAAATTTTTTTTAGTTAATTTATTTTTAAATTATCCGGATTTCATGTTTTTCGTCAATTCATATCTATTATTATTATTATTATTATTATTATTATCTTTTAATATTTTTTTAATAATAGTTTTTTCTATGGAAATATTTGTCTATTAAATAGCAATAGTAAAAATTCACGGCGTCATTGGAAAGCACTCTTTAAATATGAAACCTCTAAAAGAAAAAAAAATTTTTCTCAAAGGGAATTCCCCAAGAAAAAGGGATTTAAAGAAATAATGAGCACATAAACTTGTCGACGAGATAAAAGCAAATAAAATAATATGATCCTCTCGCTGAAGCGTGTTGAGAGAACTGATCTGGTCCAGGTGGATATTATAACTATATATATATATGTATATATATATATATATATATATATATATATATATATACAGGTTTATACAATAAAATCAGTCGGACAAACCATGTGCGTTGGACTTGATTTCCACCTGATTGTCCAATAAAAATCATTAATTCGAATTTTTATTTTCAATAAGTTTATTAGAAATAATTATTTTTCAAACGAATTTTCATTTTTCAAATTAGCATTTGACAGTGAATTTGTTTTTAAACGAATTTTTAATTAAAATTTTTAGCTACCGAATTTTTGACAAAATTTTTATTTTATAGTCATTTAATTTAAATTCATTTTCTAATTAAGAGAATTTTAATTTAATCGAATTTTTAGCAAAAATCCTCATTCAATCGAATTTTATTATTCGGAATTTTTAAGGCGCCGAATTTTATTTTTTCGAATAATTATTTTGCTAAAATTTTCATTAAACCGATTTTTTTATATTATAGAATTTTTATATAACCAAAAATTTACTTCGCAGAATTTTTATTTGTTCAAATTTTCATTTTTCCGAATTTTTATTTGTCCGAATTTAACATAATAGCCATTTTAATGAATTTTTATTTGTTAGAATTTTGTGGCATAGAATTTTTAGTTTATTCTTTTAGATGAATTTTCATTTGTTCAAATTATTATTTAATAGAATTTTCATATAACCGAATTTTTAATACTACAGAATTTAGCTGAAAAATAATTTAACAGAATTTTTAATTAATAGAATTTCCATTTGTCCGAAATTGGAAATTTCCAAACGAACAATCGACAGAAAGATTTCGGCACGATTTTTAAAATCAACCAATCAAAAATTATCCATAAAATTGTGATCGATTGATTTTAAAAATCGCGCCAAAATCTTTCTGTCGATTGTTCGTTCGGGCATTTCCAATTTCGGACAAATGGAAATTCTACACTGAAAAAAAAAAATAGTATTGAATCAAGAAAACCTATGTACTTGACCGTATATTTTATATCAATATTTTCTTGATCCAAGAAAATTTACTTTAAACTAATAAAAATTTCTTGGATCAAGAAAATATTGGTATAAAATATACGGTCAAGTACATAGGTTTTCTTGATTCAATACTATTTTTTTTCAGTGTATGTGAAACAATAATTCGAACAAATGAAAATTCATTCAAAAGAATAAAATGAAAATTCTATGCCATTAAATTATAACTAACAAAAATTCATTAAAATGGCTATTAATGTTAAATGCAAATTCTGTCAAATAAAAATTCTATGAAGTAAATTTTTGGTTCCTACTTTGAAAGATTTCCCGGGAGAGTGCCCCCTGGAGGTTCTATCAGAATTCCGCCTTAACTTCCAACAATCGAAGTTCCAAACAATTTCCGATGGGATTCCAACGGAATTCCGATTAATTTTTTTCAAAATTTTTAGAGTCCTAATTCCGATGGGATTCCGACGGAGTTCTAACGTAATTCCGATTAATTTTTTTCAAAATTGTTAGAGTCCTAATTCCGTTGGAATGCCATCGGAAATTCTTTGGAATTCCGACGGAATTCCGTTGGAAGTTCCGGCGGAATTCTGATAGAACCTCCAATGGGGCACTTTCCCGGGAAATCTTTCCAAGTGGGAACCAAAAATTTACTTCATAGAATTTTTATTTGCTAGAATTTGCATTTAACATTAATAGCCATTTTAATGAATTTTTTTTAATTATAATTTAATGGCATAGAATTTTCATTTTATTCTTTTGAATGAATTTTCATTTGTTCGAATTATTGTTTCATACACTGAAAAAAAAAATAGTATTGAATCAAGAAAACCTATGTACTTGACCGTATATTTTATACCAATATTTTCTTGATCCAAGAAATTTTTTATTAGTTTGAAGTAAATTTTCTTGGATCAAGAAAATATTGATATAAAATACGGTCAAGTACATACACAGAAAATTAAAAGACATTAAAATAAGCTGCAACGCTTTATTATTTTAATTCCTTTTAATTTTCTGTGTAGGTTTTCTTGATTCAATACTATTTTTTTTTTCAGTGTAGAATTTCCATTTGTCCGAAATTGAAAATGCCCGAAGGAAAAATGGACAGAAAGATTTCGGCGCGATTTTTAAAATCAACCAATCACAATTTTGTGTATAATTTTTGATTGGTTGATTTTAAAAATCATACCGAAATCTTTCTGTCGATTGTTCGTTCGGGCATTTTCAATTTCGGACAAATGAAAATTCTATATCAATTAAAAATTCTGTTAAATGATTTTTCGGCTAAATTCTGTAGTATTAAAAATTCGGTTTAATGAAAATTATACCTATATATATATATATATGTTTAATAAAATTCTATTAAATGTAATATTCTAATAATTTTTAAAACCCAATCAATTCGTCTTGTATTAAAAATATAAGAGTGAACGGTTTGTGGTTGTGTGGCATAAACGGTATGAGCTACCGGTATAACGTGTTGATCGCGCGCGAAACATGTATGTACACTTTGATGACTCAGCATTGGAATCCCCCGTGAATTCCAACCAATAAGAGAACGCGGGTGCGCGACGCGCGTTATTACGAAAGCATGTACACCTCTCTTTTCAACGGGCAAATGATACTGCTGCTGTTGGTGGTGTCGCGGACCTCTGATGACGTATATAGAGTCTCTTTGACGAGCCACCACACGGACCACCCAAAACCCTTCGAGGTGGGGGAACCCCTGACCCCGGTATGCTTTGTAGTGAAGGGAGGTCGCGTTTATAATGCACCGACAAACCGCCCTGACGACGCATTCGCTCGTTCGCTTCGCCCAAAGCTGATTCGCGGGGGAGCCTCTTTATAAGAAGACCCTGAGGAAGAAGAAAGAAAGAATTTTCAAGAATTAGAAAAAAAATTATTTTTTTGAAATAAAACCGCGCGGAGTAATTTGAGCTTGACGTGATTAACGACAGACGAATTTCAAAAAAAAAAAAGTTACCCCTTTGAAATTATTTTTTTTTGTGGTCGTCGCGATCCTCAAGAATCTACATAGACACCGTGATTATTCCTCAATCTTCAGATTATTAACGGATCCTGCAGGCAGTGAAATTATTATTATTATTATTATTATTATAATTATTTGGTTTTATCAGGCTTGCTGAAAACCGGAGGCACCCCTTTTAGAAAAAATTAAAATTCATATCAGGGCAGTGATAAGACAATTGTGACCAAAAAAAAGGTTTCAATTGTTTCGTTTTTGTTTTTTTGAAAAGAAGAAAATAATTCATAAACGAAGATCACAATGGCTGTTGCAGCGGCACAGAAAAATCGAGAGATGTTCGCTATTAAAAAATCTTATAGTATTGAGGTGAGTTTTCAATTTTTTGGAGTGGGGATTTATTTTGACGAGTAATTTGAAAAATTGGAAAAATATTGGTTGAATTTTCTTTTTGATAGAGAGAAATTTTTTGTTGGCAGTAAAAAAAAGTGATAAAATTCAAATTAATCTAAAAAGAGAATTTACAGAACTAAAAAAATAAAAGAAGGGTAGTTTTAATAAAGTAGAAATTTTAATTAGTGACTTATTTTATTTTTTGCTACGAATTAGTTAAATTTTACTAATGAATTGATAAAATAATTTATTTAATAAATTATTTGTAAAATTTGACTAAATTTCGTATAGCAAAAAAATTATTTACTAATTAAAGTTAAAATTTTTATTACCTAATTCAGATTTTGGGACTCAAATAATAGTGGGATTAAATTTTCCTTTTGGAATTTCGAAGACTTTGATTTTAGTTGCAAAACTTTGTTTTTAATTGTAAAATTTTGTTTTCAATTTTAAAACTTTTTTTTTTTTTTGTCTTTTAATTGATTAAACATTTGTTTTCAATTACAAAATATTGTTTTTAGTTTCAAAACTTTGTTTTCAGTTGTAAAATTTTGGTTTTAGTTGCACTGAAAAAAAAAAATTTATTTGATTTAAATACTCGATTACTTGACTATTATCAAATAAATATTTATTTGTATCAAATAATTATTATTCGAGCCAATTAAATTGTATTTATTTCAAATACAAAAATTATTGATTCAAATACAAATTAATTTAATTCAAATAAAAATTATTTGGTTCAAGTAAATATTTATTTGATAATAGTCAAGTAATCGAGTATTTGAATCAAATAAATTTTTTTTTCAGTATGTAAAATTTTGTTTTCAATCACAAAATTTTGATTTTAGTTTCAAAATTTTATTTTTAATTGTAAAATTTTTGGTTTTTGTTGTAAAATGTGGTTTTAGTTGTAAAATTTTGTTTACAATCACAAAACATTCTTTTTAGTTCTAAAACTTTGTTTTAAGTTGCAAAACTTTGTTTTTAGGTGCAAAACTTTGATTTTAGTTTTAAAATTTTGTCTTTAGTTAAAAAACTTTGTTTTTAGTTGTAAAATTTTGGTTTTTGTTGTAAAATTTGGTTTTAATTGTAAAATTTTGTTTTCAATCATAAAACATTGTTAGTAGTTCCAAAACTTTGTTTTAAGTTGTAAAAATTTGGTTTTAGTTGTAAAACTTGGATTTTAGCTGAAAAAGATTGTTTTTAGTCGTAAAAGTTTGTTTTTAATTCTAGAAATTTGTTTTCAATTTTAAAACTTTGTTTTTAATTTCAAAACTTGGTTTTAAGTTGTAAAAAATTGGTTTTAGTTGCAAAACTTGTGTTTTAGCTGAAGAAGTTTGTTTTTAGTTATAAAAATTCTAAAAAAGTTTTAATAATTGAAAAATTTGTTTACAATTAAACAATTTTGTTTAAATTCTAAAAAAATTTGCTAATTAATTAATTAGCAAAATTAATTGCAAACTTTAGTTTTTAGTTGAAACTCTTTGTTTTTAGTTTAATTAGAATTTGTCGATTCTTTAAAAAACTTTATTAAAAAATTATGAATTTTTCATTTATCTCAACAATCTTTTGTTTCAAAAACTTCTCAATTGTATTTTTAAAAATTTTTCTATTCCTTTTTGCAAAACTTTTTTTCGGTTAAATTTTTTCTATAAAAAAAAAGAAAAAATGTTTTAAAAAAAGAAAACCATTTTTTCTCAAATAAAAATATTTTTGTTTAAAAATTAATTTATTAATTTTTTTATAAACCTCAAAATTTTGGGAAAAATATTATTTTCGCTTTTTTTGAAATAATGTTTCGAAGAAAAAAGAATTGTTTTTTTTTTTTTTTAAAAACATTTTTATATAGTACAACGTGTTTGATTTAAAAATAGAACACTAATTGAGAATTCACGCGTAAGAAGCGCGAAATTTCCGCCTTTAGAGATTGTATCTCTGACGCGTGAATCTCAACTCTCTGTCGCATTATAACTCCACCAATACCACTCGTTTACCGCTATTTTTCAACATATGTGGACGGTTTTTCCGCTAATTCTCCTTTTTTTTCATTAAAAAAAAAAAAAACTATATATAAAGTTTTGTGTTTTTAAAATATATCTACGTGACTTTATTCACATTCTCAGGTCTGTAAGACTACTTAATTATTACGTCAGAAACTACTTTTATTTATTTCTCTCTTTTTTCTTTCTTCTCTAATACGAAAAAAAAAAAAAAAATTTTGTTCTATCATTTTCACATAATTTCATAACGACACTAAATTCTTTGCAATTTATGATGTCAAGTAAGAAAGTGTAATGCTTTCGATTATCGCATTAATTATATAAATAAATATACTTAACCTTGTAAAGAAATTAAAAAAAATTTTCTATATTTTTTAATTAAAAATTTATAATTTTCAGTTAAAAAAAAAAATTTCGGAATATAATAGTTATTTAAAATAGATTTTTTTTTTAAATAAAGAAATCATAACACTATTGTATAACAATTTTTTTTTTATTAGATAATTATTCTTTTGAAACTTATTAGCTTCCTGATTGTAATCAAATTCCATGAAAATGTAATTTTAATTCTATAACATAGTTTTTCTTTTCTTTTTTTTTTTATAAAGATGAATTTTTTATTGCATGCTAATTATATGACGGGAAATTAACATTGGAATGACATATAGGAAAAAGAAATAATTTAATGAAGTTTAATGATTGCATATTAGATATAAGTGAGCGGACAATATTCTTGAAATCTTTTATATATTTATAAAAGTCAGGAAAGAGTCTCAAGCGCGCGCGGTGATTTTAACGACGCAAGAGAATGTGCCCATCGTTACATATTCGTCGCGTGACTATTATTTTTGCTTTTATTTATTATTTTTCAAGACGTTATACTGAATTACTTTCACTAATTTTCGTTTATATTATCAAACAATAAGTCGAATTATTTAATCGCCTGAGTTTATTTACATTTTTTTTTTCTATTCGATAATATCTGAATGAAAAAATTTATTTTCTCCATTTTATAAATAAATATTTTTTTTACATAAAAATTTTTGTAATTTTAAAATAATAGAACAAAATTTAAAAAAAAATATTTTAAATTTTATAAATAATATTATTTATAAAAATATTTTTGAATAATTTTATTTGTTATAAAAAAATAATTAAAAATGTTGCGTAGTATTTATATATATATATAATAATTATATAAAATATAATATGATAGTGAAGAAATCCATAACCTCGAGTTCATTTGTATATATTTGATTCAGGAAAATAGTTTTATTTTGTCCTTGTAAAATTATTGTAAGGTCGGTAAATAGCTTTTAGAAATGTAGTACGAAACTACATAAGTTATGGACCTGTTTATAGTTATAATTTTATGTTTTATTTATTTTTTTTTTTTTTAAAAAAAGAACAATAGTTTTTTTTCTCCGCATTTAAATTTTAAATATAATTAATAATAAAAATTCTACGAGGTCTTGAAATTTATTCACGTTTTTAGAGAAAAAAATTTTTTTTACACTAATAAAATACGTAATATATTTTTTTTTATTACACGTAATTTTTTGGCATAAAATTTAAATAAATGGTGAAACAAAAAATTTTCCATTTATTAATGAAAAAAAAATTTATTTATATAAATATATATAAATTTATATTTATTTATTTATATAAATAATTATTTATATAACTATTATTAATTTTCTGTAATTATTTATAATATCGTAATTATAAAAATAATTATTAAATAATTAAATAAACAAATTGTTTTTTTAATTAAATAAAAAAAAAATCTAATAAAAATTGTGAAAAAAAAAATCTTTTGATAATTCAATTTTATTGAAAATGAAACTGACTTTTAAACGGTTTATTAATTGGCATTTGTCAGACAGAGTTTCACTACTTGTGTCTGACGCGTAAAGCTTTTTCCACTGATAATCCACGCTTCTACTGTATATGGATATATAAAATGTGAAGGAATATTTTTCTGATAACTGTTAATTAATAATAATTTAAAATTTACAATCTAACGTTTATATATCGATTCTGAAGGTCTATCAATTACATATATGCTTATTTCTAAAGGAAAATTATAAAAATTAATGTTTTTTTTTTTTTTTTTTTCTATATCGATCAATTTCCATATTCAATATATTTTTTCGTTTCACTCATCGTACCGGTAGTAATTTTACATTTAACAAAACACAAATTTATTAATTATTATTTTTTTTTACTAAATAATGAATTTTTTTAATTATTTATTTATTATTTTTTTTAACACCCCCTACAATTAATTTATTATTATTAATTCCATTATTTATTATTTGTTTACTAAATAATTTATTAACTAATTAATTTATTACAATTAATTTATAATTATTAATTCCTTTATTTATTATTTGTTTACTAAATAATTTATTTATTAAGTTTTTTTTTCTATTATTTATCATTATTTATTTATTAACTATTTAACAATTATTTATTATTTAGCATTTGTTAATTTATTTATTTATTAAGTTTTTTCTATTATTATTTATCCTTATTAATTATTTATTATTTGTTTACTAAATAATTTATTAACTAATTAATTTATTACAAATAATTTATAATTATTAATTCCTTTATTTATTATTTGTTTACTAAATAATTTATTTATTAAGTTTTTTTTCTATTATTTATCATTATTTATTTATTAACTAATTAACAATTAATTTATTATTTAGCATTTGTTAATTAATTTATTTATTAGGTTTTTTTTATTATTTATCATTATTAATTATTTATTATTTGTTTACTAAATAATTTATTAACTAATTAATTTATTACAATTAATTTATAATTATTAATTCCATTATTTATTATTTGTTTACTAAATAATTTATTTATTAAGTTTTTTTTCTATTATTTATCATTATTTATTTATTAACTAATTAACAATTAATTTATTATTTAGCATTTGTTAATTAATTTATTTATTAAGTTTTTTTTATTATTTATCATTATTAATTATTTATTATTTGTTTACTAAATAATTTATTAACTAATTAATTTATTATTCAATTTATTATTGTTAATTAAATTTGAGTGAAATTTTTTTTTTTTATTTAAATACATTTTTTCTGGAAAATAACGTAAATATAATTGATTGGATTTTGTTATTAATTTTGAAGTTATTGAAAATATTTCGCGCACAAGATATGTTTTTAAAAATTAATTAATAATTATCGTTAATTGCAAAATGTCATCTGCTGGTTTTGTGAGACTTGGCAAATATATATATATAAAAGGTGCCTGTCTATCTATTGGATTGAGAAATCAATCGGCCTTGTGGCTCTCGCATGATAATTATGAATATGTTATAAATATGAGAGCGCAAGTGATTGTAAAGTTGGAAAATGTGTTCGTTTTCTTGTTTCCTTGAACAGTTGGAGCCATAAGCAATATCTCCAATAGGCAATTCTCATATCAGTTATATATATATTATCTGTATACACTTTGGAGGCTCGCCTCCGCCTTTGACTATTGGTCCTCGCAGAATATATATCTATATATGAATTTTTTTTTCTATTTTATATATATATATATAAACTACTTGTAACAGCGCTTCAAAACCGCGTCAGATCCGCTATGCTAATGCCAAGTTAATTACTGTATTTATAAAAGTACGCGTGTTTTACCTGAAACCCCTCCCCTAATGGTATAATATTCATTTTATATATTTATATATATATGAAAATAATCGTGTCAATGCAATATCGTAACGATGCATAATACATTCAGAAATTGCACAAGCAAGATTGCGGATTAATTTCCCATTTTTTTTTTGTTTCCCCCCTCATCCTATTTCTTTTTTTCACACCATCTTGTCAATCACCCGAAAAAAATTCTTCTAAATATATATTTTTTCTCCCTTAGGACATTTTTCGAATTAAATATATATATATTATTTTTTATCATATTGGTTCGTTTGGAAAAATTTGGTTTTTGTTATAAAAAAGAAAATTAAATGTGAGAACGACTATTTTAATTTTAGGGTTAAATCGTTTATTTATTGAATCATTATTGGAATAATCATTCTCTTGTGTTGCATTTTTTTTAAAGGCTTTTGAGAACATAGTCATCGTTCATTTATCCAGGTGGCATTGAGCACTTGGCCCACTTTTTATATCACGCGGTTAAATAATTGCTAAACCTACTTCAATTCGTGCCAACTTCTTTTCTCGATTCGTTATAAATCATAGTCATCAAAATTGAGAGAAAAAAATTAATTAATTGAATAAATTCATAACGAAATTTAGAAAACGAAATTTAAAAATGAAATTTAAAAACGAATTTTAAAAACGTAATTTTATAAAGTGTTATAAAATTTTATTAAATAAAATAGATTCATAAATTATTTTTTTGTAAATTATTTCAATTGTTGAAATTTTGCAAATAATTTATACTAAGGATTTCAATTTTCGTTATAATACTTTGAAAGCCCCTTTTTTGACATCCCTTTGAGAGGATGAAAGTGAAGTCATTTCCGTGCCTTGGAATTCATTTCCGCTCTTTCAATTCAAAAACTTCACGTGTGGAAAAATCACTTGTTCAATAATCTTTGTTCTCAGCTTTGTTGTCGGACAATTTCAACTTCTTCGGGAAATTACGGTTAGAAGGACAAAGGAGATTAAATCCTATATAATTGACCGAACAGAAATCCAAGTTTGTTTTTTTTTTTTTTTTTTTTTCTTTAAAATTTTCAATTGCAATTAGTCATAATGAAAATACAGCTAATTATATAATTACTGGCAAATTAATTACCAAATATGAAAATACAAAAGAAAATAGTTTAAAAATTTGTTTGTTTTATAATTAATTTTTCATTCACAGAATGGATATCCAGCACGACGTCGTTCTTTAGTTGACGATGCTCGATTTGAAACTTTGGTTGTGAAACAAACGAAGCAAAGTGTGCTTGAGGAAGCCAGACAGAGGGCAAATGGTAAGTGTTATTTATTAAAATTTTAAATGTAATTTTTTATTATTGTTATTTGTATATAATATGAATGAAAGTAAATAATTCTTTTCTATTATTATTTTTTTATTTGCGTTTTTGAAAATAAATAATTTCACAGAAAATTAAAAGGCATTAAAATAAGCTGCAACGATTATTATTTTAATCCAATTTTGCTTATTTTAATACCAAAATCGATTAAAATAAGCAAAATTGGATTAAAATAATAAGCGTTGCTGCTTATTTTAATGCCTTTTAATTGTCTGTGTTTTTCGTTGATTTTGCATGAAATTTTTATTTGCATTTTTGAAAATTTAAAATAATTTTTTCGTTAATTTCGCATGAAATTTTTATTTTGCATTTTTGAAAATGTTAAATAAATTTTTTAATAAATTTTTTTCGTTGATTTTGCATGACATTTTTTCCTTTTTTTTTGCAAAAAATTAGACACAATTTCCGATTCCACTGCATGTGATCAGGAACAAACTCAAATTGAAGATGAAACTTATACTTCGTCGAGCGATGATGATCAATCAGAATCGCTCAGTCGTGCAGCTCAAGAAAGTGGTATGTATAAATATTTTTTTTTGCAAATTTTTGCATGTGCATGATTGTTAATTATTTTCGTTAATTTTAGAAGCTAAAGCAGAAGCTTCCTCCTCGGATGGTGAAGGAAAACCAGAAGATGATGATGAAAGTATGTTAAATATATATTTTTTAACTTCTTTTGCTAAAATAAAGCACAGAAATTTTTAATTTTTTATTTTTTTCTCGTAATTGGAAAAAAATAAAATAAATTTTTGGAATTTAGAGACTTAAATTTTTTTGAAGAAAATTATATAACGAATTTCTTAATTTCAGATGCTGGCCTCACTGAAGAGGAAGTTGTCCTGGCAAAAACAATTGCCGAAACACCGGATAATGAACAAATTGTTCAACGAGCAGCTCTCGTACTTCGTCTACGTGAGGGAATAAGTTCATTGTCGCGAATTTTAAAAACAATTGAAAATTTCAAAGGCACCGTGACTCATGTTGAATCGCGACCATCAAAAAAAGAAGGACTACAATTTGATGTCTTGGTAAAAGTTGATATGACAAGACAAAGTCTACTTCAATTGATTCGTAATTTAAGACAAAGTTCATCATTAGCTGAAGTCACATTACTTGCTGATAATTCAATGAGCATTAAAGATCCCTGGTTTCCAAGACATGCATCAGAACTTGATAATTGCAATCATTTAATGACAAAATATGAACCCGATTTAGATATGAATCATCCTGGTTTTGCCGATAAGGAATATCGTGCACGACGTAAAGTAATCGCTGAAATTGCATTTGCCTATAAATATGGTGATCCAATTCCAAGTATTCCATATACAGAAACTGAAAATAATACTTGGAATCGTGTTTTTAATACATTAATTGATTTGGTGCCAAAACATGCATGCATTGAATATCAAAGAGTATTTAAAAAATTGCAAGAGGAAAAAATTTTTGAACCCGCACGCATACCACAATTACAGGAAGTTAGTGATTTTTTGAAAAGAGAAACTGGATTCACATTGAGACCAGCTGCTGGATTATTGACGGCACGTGATTTTCTCTCGAGTTTGGCATTTAGAATCTTTCAGAGTACTCAATATATTCGACACATTAATAGTCCTTATCACACGCCTGAACCGTAAGTGTTTTTTAAAATTTGATTTTTGAAAAAAAAGGTTTTATTTTTTTTTTGTCAATAATAAAAAAAAAAAATAAAATTGGTTCGCACGCAAAAAAAAAAAAAAAAAAACGTGACGGCAATCGATATTGCATTATGACTCGGACCCAGTGAACAGAGGACGATCATAATAAAATTACTACACCTCTCTAAGCTTGTAATGGAACTCTAATTGGCTTTTAACGTCGCGACGACGTTGATAACTCACTTTTGCAGTTGAGAACTTGCTCTCCATGAACTCGATCTCACAGAAAATGAGAGAGGATAAAAGCATAATTTTATCATACACTAATCAATCTTCCATAAACTTCCCCCCACTATTCATTCAACAATTATTGACCGTTTAACAATTGTTCCATTTTTTTTTTTGTTTCCTCTAGCAGATTTTCAACAAAACATTTTCCTCTTTTTTAATTTTGTACTCTACTTTTTGTTTATTTTTATTTATTTCGGTTTTTAATTTCTTGGATTTTTGGTTTTTTTTTGGAATTTTTGTTTCATTTGTAGCATATAATTTGGTTTTTTGGTTCTTTGTTATGAATTTTGTCATTTATTTCGGTTTTTATTATTTTTTTATTCTTCCTAATAATTAGTAACTACATTTCTTTTTATTTTGTTTCGAGTTTTGTTTTCAATTGTTTTTATAATTGGTTTTATTTATTTTTTTATTTTTATATATTTTTATTTATTTCGGTTTTTAATTTTTGTATTTCGTTTTCTATTGTTTTTGTAATTGGTTTTATTTGTTTTCGTTCATTTTTATTTATTTCGGTTTTTAGTTTCTTAGATTTTTGTTTTTTTTAGAATTTTATTTCTTGTGTAGCATACAAATTTAGTTTTTTTTAGTTCTTTGTTATGAGTTTTGTCATTTATTTCGGTTTTGATTAGTTTTTTGTTCTTCCTAATAATTAGTAACTACATTTCTTTTTATTTTGTTTCGAGTTTTTTTATATACTTTAATTTATTTCGGTTTTTAATTTTTATATTTTTGTATTTTGTTTTCTATTGTTTTTGTAATTGGTTTTATTTATTTTTATTTATTATTTATTTTCGTTTACTTTTATTTATTACTTATTTCTGTTTTTAGTTTCTTACATTTTTGGTTTTTTTTTTAGAATTTTATTTCTTTTATAGCATACAATTTAGTTTTTTAGTTCTTTGTTACGAATTTTGTCATTTTTTTTTATTTCGATTAGTTTTTTTTACTTCTTCTATTTTGTTTTGTATTTTAAATTTTCATTTTTTTGTATTTCGTCTTCCATTATTCCTGTAATTGTTTTAATTCTTTGCTGTAAACATCTATAGGGTTGAATTATTTTTCTCTCGAATTTTAGTTTAGAAGAAAAATATTCGCCTTCATCGGGAATTGAACCCACGATCCGTCGCACGGTAGTCAATAACCTTAACCACAGAACCACGCTCACATTAAAATTTTTTTTATTTCTATCACTTCTAGTCTTATTTCTTTAAAATAATTTTTTTTATTTCTAGTAGTTTTAGTCTTATTTTCTTAATATAATTGTAAATTTTTTTTCAGTGACGCAATTCACGAACTTTTGGGACACATGCCCCTATTGGCTGATCCAAGTTTCGCTCAATTTTCACAGGAAATTGGTCTCGCATCATTGGGTGCATCAGATGAGGAAATTGAAAAACTCTCAACAATTTATTGGTTCACAGTTGAATTTGGCTTATGTCGTGAGGGTAAAGAGGTTAAAGCCTATGGTGCTGGTCTATTGTCAGCATATGGTGAATTACTTCATTCGTTAAGCGATAAATGTGAACATAGAGCATTTGATCCATCGATAACGGCACTTCAACCATATCAGGATCAAGATTATCAGCCAGTTTATTATGTTGCCGAAAGTTTTGAAGACGCTAAAGAAAAATTCCGTCGTTGGGTGAGCACAATGAGCCGACCATTTGAGGTTAGATTTAATCCACATACACAACGTGTGGAGGTACTCGATACTGTTGATAGGCTGGAGAATCTTGTTTCACAAATGAATCTTGAAATGACACATTTGACGAATGCACTCAATAAAATGAAATCGTCCTTTGCGTAAAAAAAAAATCGAAATACATTTTATTGATGGACTCTTATCTCGGACGAGGATCATTATAGCCTCATTTTAGCGCCTATTTCGCGAAGCATAATTTTTTTTTTTCGTTCCTGGATAATTCGAATATTTTTTTTTTTATTTATTCAATTTTTAATTCTAATTTGATCACGAAATGTTTGGAATTAGGGGATTTTTTTCCACTTTTGTATATTTTTTTTTTTTTTTTTCCCTTCGAAGCCCCAGGATCTCATCTTCATGTTTTTTTTTCTCGCCATTTTTTTTCCTCGCTCTGTGTATAAAGTTGTCATTTTTTTTTTGTCGCCTGTGCAGCATCATCTGTGATTCGGGTTTTGATTTTGTTTTTTTTTTTTTTTATTCTACGTCGTTATTTTAGTTTAGAAATTCTTTTTTCGAAATTAATATCATTGAAATTCAAAAAAAAAGGTTTCGAATGATAGAAAAGAAATGGAAGTGTTATTGGAAAAATTTAAAATAACGAATATATTAGAAAATAGAATTTAGAAAAAAAATGATTCTAATTTAAGAAAAATTGCAAAATTTAGTAGATAATTCTACTGGATATTAACGAAATAGAAAATAATTGAAGCAAAATAAATAAAGTAGATAAATTGAACCAAAAATAATATAAAATAGTTACAATAAATATTAGTAGAAATTATAGAAAATGAATAAATAAAAAAAAATTCAAATCGTTAAAAATAAAAATTCACGTTAAATGTTACAATGTTAAAAAAACAAGAAAACTGTTAAATAAAATAAATATTGAAAGAAAATGAATTCTTAAAATAGAGATACAGATTATATATATGTGGAATCATCCCGAGATAAGATCTGCCCAGGCGGACATCGTTTCTGTATTATTATTATTATTATAATACAATTTTATTTTTTATTTTTTCTATTGTACAGTACAGTAACGATAATAATTTTTTTTTTCTTTACTGTATCGTACAATATTGTATTATTGTATAATTTGTTTTTAAACGCACAATGCAAAAAAAAGCACCTGATTATACCGTGTGAGTGAAATTTATCACCCTCGGTTACGTCTTTTAATGTGATTGATATAATAATAAATATTATTATATGTATTGTACTCGGCCATTTTAAAAATAATTGACGAGAACAATATTATTGACGATTACAATTGTAACGAGTTCGTAATTTTTATTTTATTTTTAATTTTTTTTTCTTTTTTAATTTGGATCTCTCATTTGGTGTGAATGCGTGGACTTGGAATTGAAAATTTCAATTCGAATTTTATTTTTTTTTGAAGATTCGTGATGCTTTTTGTTAGTTATTAATTATAATCTATTTAGTATAATAATGTGGTGACGAATGTGAGAGAGAGACCACAGAAAAGTTGATATTATAATCAGTAAAAATTTTCTAAAGAATTTCAGTATTATATCTTATATTTTCTGAAGAGAATTATTATTATTTTTTTATTTTCATTATATTATTATAATATATTATTAATTTTATTATAATTATTATATATTATCTATTATCTATTTTTATTATTAAGTATTATTTTTATTATTTTTATTTTTAGAGAAATGTTATTTTATTAATTTAATTTGTAATTAGTTTTATTTAGACTTACATTAGCATCACGAATTTTGTTGCAATTTTTTTATAATTCAGTAATTTTTTTTTTGGAAAATTTTAATTTTTAAATGTTCGGTAGTCAGAGAAAGAGAAAGAGAGAGAGAGAGATTATTGTCTAATTAGTGTGTAGTTCAAGTCCTTGCTTGTGCACCTAGCACTATTTCACCGCTAACCGTGTGTACAAATTTGAAAATGAATCATTATTGTGATTCACATCATTTGTATTATATTGTAAAGTATCAGCAAAATAAAATCTTAAGATGTGTATCTTAAAATTTGATATTATTTTCTCTAAACATTTGCTTTTTTATAGTAAACCAAATTTATTAAAATAATTAATATAATATTAATTAATTATTCTAATAAATAAAACATTAATTTGCAAAATATATTTAAAAAAAAATTTTTTGATTGCTAATTTGAAATTAATTTTATTTTATTAAAAACAAAAAACAAGTGCAACAAGTTTTGAATATTTATCTCTCTGTCATTGACGTTTTTTTTTAAAATTCATTTTTTTACAATATTGTAATATGTTTTAATAATTTATTATTATCTATATTAAAACGTTATGAAATTTTTAGTTCTCTGGAATTTGTTATTGAATTTTTTGTTTGTTTCTTGTAACTCAGAGTGTAAGTTACTATTTTTTTTAACCCCAAAAAAAATATTTATAATAATTTCTATTTTTTTTTTTTAATTGTAGATTACGATAAAGATTATTCCGAAGGATTTATTTCAGGATGGATAAGTTACTTGAAACGTTTTTTCTTAGTTGCCTCGATATTATCTGGAGTAATTTTGTACTATATTCCTGATTCTCGTTTTTGTGGGTATTTTAAATAATTAATTAATATTAATAAAATAAAAATAATTTAATTCATTGTTAATTAATTTTTTAAATGAAAATTTCAAAAATCTCTATAGATGCAAAAAGAGGATGCTGTTTTTTAATAGATAATTTTGCGGAAGGATTAAAAACTCTTCTTTGTTTAAAAGATAATGATTTTAATAAAAAGAAATCTGATATTGACAATTCTATATCTGAAAATTTTTACGATATTGACGAATTTGATTTTTTAAATTCAGATCAAAATATTGAGCATAAAGAAAAAAAGTTAATTAAAATTTATTTCTTTCATAAATAATATATATATTTTTTAAATTAAATATTCTAAAATTAAAATAAATTTAATATTTTTTGTGAATTTAGTGATGAAAGTGTGAGAGCATTGAAAAATTCAAGGGAATTTTCTTTAAGATCTATGGAACATCTTCAAATACAAAAGAAATTAAAGAAAAAGAAAAAAGAACAAAATTCCAATCAAATTATTTTAACTTCAAATTCAAATCAAATACCAAATAAAAATATATTAAACGATATTGAGGCAAAAGTATTTTTTGAGAGGTAATAATTAAGAATTAATTACCACAATTAAAAAAAAATTATATTTATTGTTTTTAATGAAATAATTTTATTAATTTAGTAAATGTTTTTCAATACCCATATTTCTTCTTTTTTTTACAAGAACACCGCAACCAAAGAAAAAATGTCAAGAGAATAAAGAAAAATTATCATATTTGAATTCTTCGGAAAGTGAAAAATTACATATTAGAAATTAAATACGGAAAAAGAAATTTTAATGAAAAATTATATTTCATAACAGGTGATAATGGATTAAGAACGTGATTTTTTTTTACATAGAAATTTATATAAAGTATAAATATAAATAATTTATAAAAAGAATTATAGAAAGATTAAAAATTTTTTTTTTTATTATTATACAAATACTTGAAAATAATTTTTTTTGTACAAAAAGCTTTTTGCCTTTTAAACAATTTCTCTTTTTTAATTTTGAATTTCGCGCCAATTTCAAGAAAAATGCATACGCTGAACATTGCATTAGATGGGTGGGAGAAAATTCAAAATGGACACAAGCTGGATGACAGCATTACATTGAAAATATGTGGAACAAAATTTAATTTTTTAATTATTTCGCTTAAATAAAATTTTTGAATTTCTAATTAATATTAGAATTATATTAGGATATTTAAAAAATTTATTTTTCCATATACATACAATGTAAAGATGTCATCCGGTTTTCGTCCATTTTAATTTTTCCCCCACCTAATTTTAACTACGCATACAAAACTCTGCGCATGCGTTTTACTTGAAATTGGTTCAAAATTATGGCGGGAAGATTATTTTCAATTCAAACTTTCTTTGTAGAAAAAATTGTTCGCAATCATTTGTAATGTTTTTAGTAAAAAAAAAAAAAAAAACTAATCCAATATTAATTTATAACATAATTAAATATTATTTTGTAATAACAAATTTTAAGGGAAATTTAAAATTTCTGAACATTTTAATTTACGAGCAGAAAAATTGAAATTATTTTAAATTGAAAAATTAGAGTATATTATATCATTAAACAGTCATTTTAAATATTACGTCACAATAATTTTCAACAATTTCCCAAAGTTGAATTTTGTATTAAAAACAACTTAAATAAAAAATAATTCTTAATATTTTTTTTGAAAAAAGTAAATAATTTGTTAGTGATAAAATTGTTTAAAAAATTTCCAAAATTATTAATTAGTTATAAATAATTTTTTAAATTAAAATTTAAAAATTAAAATTTTAAAATTAAAAATCATTAAAAATTAGTTTTGATTGAATGAAGAAAATAATGAATAATAAATAAAAATTTTTATCAAACATTTGCAACAGTTTATGATTATTTAATTATTTAATAGCACTGTTATAAAAGGTAACGCGTAAAATTAAATTAAATAGTGTGGCAGTGAGGAATTTTTTTTTTCTTTTGACTAAAATTTCGAACTGGCCCACTTAGATAAAAAAAAAATACTGTTGAATTCAAAACTTATAATTTGAGAACAAATAAGAAATTGAGTTATCACTTAACACTAATAAAGATCATTATACGTAAAAGCAGTGGGATATTTTACTTACAGTCGGTGTCTCAATTCCACCAAGTCGTTTAGTTTCTTTCTACGTGTTGAATGAAGAAGATCGTTGACATTTCTTAAAAAACTGTAGTATTTTCCCGGCTCATTAACTAAAAAAAAAAAAAAAAAGATTAGTTTCAACACGTTACAATGATAATAATTTTTAATTATTACCGATAATGATAAAATAAATCATTAGACAAAATGTTAAATCAGCATTTAATACAGTTATAATATTATTTTAAGAATAATATTTATTTAAAAAAAAAAAATATGTATTTTCAACAAAAAATTTAAATTAAAAATTTAAGCATTTTTTTTAAATTCGTGTTTAATTTAATTCGGCGATTGAAAAAAATTTTATAATTATATTATTTATTTAATATTAAATTAATTCATCTAGAAAATATTAGCAAAAAAAAAAATTAATCATGACAGTGGTTAATAATGAAAAAAAGGAAACGGTGGGCCTAAAAAGGGAATTAGGCTTATTTAGTGCAGTGAGCTTAATCGTCGCTGTAATGATAGGTGAGACTTTTTCTAATCACAATATTAACTACACGTGCAATCATCACGTTGAATGTTTAAAATTCACATTCTTATGAAATTTGATAACTAATGAATATATAAATAATAACAAAAATTTTATATTTTCGCACGTTTTATATAAAAATTGTTTTCTTATAAATAATTTTAATATTAGTAAATATTTTATTTATTAAATATTATTTTATAAAAGTAAAAATATTTATTATTAAAATATTATTAATATTAATAATTAATAATAATAATTAGTACTATGAAAAATATTTTTTTTTTAATAAAAATTATTATTCTGCAATTAATTATTTTTCATCTATAAATATATTATTTTAACAAATTAAAATAATTTATTAACATCATAGAATATTATTTACTTAATCGTTTAACCTTTCACTATAAAATCATTTATTTCTAATTTACTATATATAATTCTTTTTGATAGTAGTAAATAATAATCGGAATGAAATTAATACTTATATGATAAGTAAAATAATAAATGAATTAATAATCTGCACTTCGAGCAAAAATGTCAGATACATTTATCAAAGACTTTATAATATCAAAAATAAAATAATTCATTTTAAATAATTTTAAAATAATTAAAAAATTAGTTTATATAAATTAAGTATTAGAATTTTTGAATTAAATTTTTTTTCTTTAAATAGAAATTAAAATAAAATTAATTAATTTTTGATTAAATTAGTGAGACAAATAGTCTGAAATAAGAAAGTGACGTTTAATTTTATCAACCTCTATAGGGCACAAATCACACAAAAGATTTGACGAAATATTTAATAAGCTTTATTCAGAGCAGCAATCTAGATGACAAATGATGTTCATACATTTTTCCCACGTGGATTAAATAACTACTGTCTAGATTATATATATATATATATACGATTAACATTTTTATATTAAGTGATGATAAAAAATAAATTTTCCATTTTTAATTAAAAATTTAATTCAAAAAATATGCAAAATTAATTCAACAATTATTAAAATTTCCTTTAAATTTAATTTTGTTATATTTTTATAATTTCCCTGTAAATTTTTTTTTTGTTTCATCATTTATTGATTTTTTTTTTTGTAATCTTTTTGGTTTTGACTATATACTGTAAATATTTTTTCATTTTCTTCCCATTATTTACTTAAGAAAGATTGTATAATTCAACAAAAAGAAAATGATGTAAATTAGTATATGAATGATGAAAATTGAACAATATATGTTATTAAAATTAAATAATCCAGTAATTAAAGTTTACATTAATATTATAGAAATTATTTTTAAAATTCAAAGAATTTTTATCATTAGTGGAGAAAAAAAAAAAGTTTCCTCGAGAATAACACACGTGATAAAAAAATATTTGTATTAGAACAGATGTTAGTGTGTTTATTTTAAAAAAATTTGTAAAAAATAATTATTGTATGACTAACTAAAAAATTCGATAGAAATTAAAAACTTTTATTTCTTTTAATTAAAACAACTTATTTTAAATTTTCTCTTGTAAACTATTTGGAAATTACATTTACAATTAATAATAATAATAATAATAATAATAATAATAATAATAATAATAATAATAATAATAAGAAGAAGAAAAATAATAATAATAAACATAATAAAATATGTTGTAAGTAATAAAAAAATGTTGTAAAGAATAATAATTTTGAAAATGAAAATATAAAAAATTACCGACACAGAAATCTACCTTACCGCCTGATGGTAAAATAGGGGTTTTAAAAAATGAAAATATAATATTACTTTCATAGAAATCTATCTTACCTACTAATGGTAAAACAGTTTTTTGAAAAATGACAATCTAAAAATTACCGATATAGAAATCTACATTATCGACTAATAGAAATAGTTTTTTTTTTTTGAAAAATGAAAATATAAAAATTACCATCAGTGGGTAAGACAGATTTCTATGTCGGTAATTTTTATATGTTCATTTTCAAAAGAACCTGTTTTACCATTAGTCGGTAAATTATATTTCTATGTTGGTAATTTTTTATATTGTCATTTTTTTAAAAAAAAAACCTGTTTTACCATTAGTCGATAAGGTAGATTTCTGTGTTGGTAATTTTAATATCTTGATTTTTCAAAAATTTGTTTTTCCATCAGTCGGTAAGGTAGATTTTTGATTTGATAGAAAAAAATTCTTTCTTTTTTTTAATTAAAATTTATTTTTAAAAAAAACCACTTGTAAAATAATTGAAAATTAAATTTACGATTAGTTTACGATAATAAAAAATGTAATTAAAAAAATATATATATTAAAAATCACTTAAAACTACATGAGATTATTTTTTTTAAACTTAATTTTTTAAAAACTAATTAAAAAGTTATTTGTTTCTTAAACTGTAAAAGAACTGAACTACACTGAAAAAAAAATTTATTTGATTCAAATACCGGTGTATTTGGTTATTATCAAATAAATATTTACTTGAATCAAATATTTCTTATTTGAATCAAATAAATGGTATTTGCTTCAAATACTGAAATATTTGATTCAGATATTATATATTTGATTCAAGTAAATATTTATTTGATAATAACCAAATACACCGGTATTTGAAGCAAATAAATTTTTTTTCAGTGTAATATAAGGTGAAGAAAAATAGTAAAAAAATAATTTCATAAACTTACAGGTTCGGGTATTTTTGTCTCACCAACAAGTGCCCTTGAACGATCAGGTTCGGTAGGATTTTGCCTAATAATTTGGATAGTTTGTGGATTTTTATCACTTCTTGGAGCATTGGCATTCGCCGAATTGAGTGCTGTTGTACCAAGATCAGGAGCCGAATATGCCTATTTCATTGATGCATTTGGACCACTTCACAATTACTTTGGACAATTGCCATCATTTATTTGCTCTTGGGTTTATGTAATTATTCTACGTCCAGCTGAAGTTGCTGTTGTAATTCTTACATTCGCTGATTATTCAATTCAACCATTCATCACTTTAATGCCAAATTTATCACTGGAATCAATGCAAATGTTAAAAAAATTAATTGCAATAATGGGTTTGGCAATTGTCACATACATTAATTTAACAAGCGTAAAACTTTATGTAAAAATACAAAATACCTGTACAATTCTCAAAGTGGCTGCTTGTCTTTTAATAATTTTCGGTGGCGCCTATTGGTTAGCGACAGGACACACGGAATTACTTAATAATCCATTTAGTGGTACAACAACGTCGCCGGGAAATATTGCACTTGCATTTTACAGTGGTCTTTGGGCCTATGATGGTTGGACATCGGCAACAATAGTCACTGAGGAAGTGAAAAAACCTGAAATTAATATACTTCGAAGTATTCTTATTGCTGTGCCAACGATAACATTACTTTATGTGACAATGAATTTAATGTATATGTCGGTATTACCAATATCGGAAATGATTTCATCAAATGCCGTTGCAGTAACGTGGGCAAATAAAATATTACCACCATGGTTGGGTATTGCAATTCCAATTGGTGTTGCATTTTCCACATTTGGCTGTTGTTTAAGTCTTCAATTTAGTGTTTCACGATTGTGTTATGTTGCAGGACGCGAGGGACATGTACCGAGATTTTTTAGTTTTGTACATTATAGTAAAATGACACCAGCCGCTGCTGTTGCACTACAGGGTATTCTTGCATTTTTTTGCATTCTAGTTGGTAATATTATTGAATTAATTGAATTTGCAAGTTTTCTCACATGGGTCTTTTATGGTTTGGCAATGATTGCATTAATTATTATGAGAAAAACAAAATCCGATGTTCATCGTCCATATGCAGTGCCAATTGCAATTCCATGGCTTGTTTTATTTATTGCAATATTTTTGGTATTTGCTCCAATTATTAAAGAGCCATCGGCAAAATATTTTTTCGCTGTAATCTTCATTCTCATTGGCGTTGGAATTTATCATTTTTTTGTCTACAAGAAAGTGAAAAATAATTTTACAGGTATGATTACAGTTTATTATTTTAAAAATCTTCTTTTTTGGAAATTTAAAAAAAAAATATTTTTTTCCCCGTAGAGAAACTCACGTATCTGGTGCAAATTTTGTGTTTGGTGGTCCCACCTGAAGAGGAAAATGACTCACAGAATACAAAAAAAGAGATTCTACTATCTATACAGGAAAAATCAGATCTGCCAAAAAGTGAAATAAAAATTTAACAAAAAAAAAGAACAATAATCAAATAAAAACATTGTTGTGATTATTTTAATCCAGACTATAAATCCTAAATGACTTTTAAAGAAGCCTTTAAAACTGATAGTATAACAGTTATTAAAAAATAAAAAAATTACCGACATAGAAATCTACCTTGCCGACTGATGGTAAAACAGTTTTTTTTAAAAATGACGATATAAAAATTACCGGTAGAGAAATCTACTTTATCGACTGACGGTAAAACAGGTTTTTTAAAATGAAAATATAAAAAATTACCTACACAAAAATCTACTTTACCGACTGATGGTAAAGAATTTTTTTTGAAAAATGAAAATATAAAAATTACCGACATATAAATCTACCTTACCGACTGACGGTAAAACAGGTTTTTTGAAAATGAAAATATACAAATTACCGACCTAGAAATCTACTTTACCGACTGATGGTAAAGAAATTTTTAAAACTGAAAATATAAAAAATACCGACCTGGAAATCTACTTTACCGACAAATAGTAAAAAAATTTTAAAAATGAAAATATAAAAATAACCGATCTAGTAATCTACTTTACCGACTGATGGTAAATTTTTAAAAATGAAAATATAAAAATTACCGACTTAGAAAACTATACTTTACCGATTGATGGTAAAGAAAAATTTTAAAAATAAAAATATAAAAATTACCGACCTAGAAATTTACTTTACCGACTGATGATAAATTTTTAAAAATGAAAATATAAAAATTACTGACCTATAAATCTACATTACCGGCTGATGGTAAAACAGTTTTTGAAAAAAATGAAAATATAAAATTACCATCAGTCGGTAAGGCAGATTTCTATGTCGGTAATTTTTTACATCTTCATTTTTCAGAAAACCAGTTTACTATCATTCGGTAAGGTAGATTTCTGTGTCGGTAATTTTTGTATTTTTATTTTCAAAAAATCTGTTTTACTATCGGTCGGTAAGGTAGATTTATGTGTTGGTAATTTTTGTAATTTCATCTTTTAAAAAACTGTTTTACCATCAGTCGGTGAGGTAGATTTCTGTGACAGTAATTTCTTATGTTTCTATTTTTCAAAATTTTTTACCGTCTTGTTATTTTTTTATCCATTTATGTAATTTAAAATTACTTTTAATGTTATTTTTGCAATTATTTCCACGTGTACATAATTTTATTCACTAATATTAAATAGATTTTTAATTATTCCAAAAAAAAATGAAGAATCAAATACTTTTTGGCGTTTTGTATAAAAAAAAAGTTTATTCATTAACTTCAACCCTGAAAAATAGTTTTTAAACTACAATCATTTTCACTCTACTTAACAAAAATTAAGTGAAACTTTTTTTTTTTAATTATAAATCGTAGCTTTGTAAAAATTCTTAAATTACTATCAGATCATTATTGGCACGGTTGATCAAAACCGAAATACATACTTATATCATTAGTTAACAGATAAATAAAGTGCTCTGTTTTTTTCATTTAAATATTATAACAGGCGACATAAAATATAATTTTTTGTCACTATAATTCGTACATTAAAATTTGAATATCATTCATTTTTTTCATATCAGTACATTTAATTTTGTCGTGAATTATTGAAAACATGATATGGTAGTTTTTCATTTAATAAACATTTCTTTCCGTTGAACTTTTTTTTAACATGTAAAATATTTATCATCTCATTATTATATAATAATTAATTTATTTTGTGCAATTGTTTTTTTCATAGATTCAACATTTGCATAGATTTTTTTTTATATAAATCTAATTTAACAGTCGTTTCATTTAATTCAATAACTAATTTTTTCATTTAATAAGTAATTAATTAGAATTTTACTAAAAATAGATAAATAGAAAAATAAATAAAAAATAAAAAATATTGTTAAACAGTAATTTGCTAATTTTTTTTCAATATTATTTAATTCACTATGTTTGTTAAAATTTATTTTCTTTAATGTAAAATTTAGAACTTAAAATAAAAGATTAATTTCAGAAAAGCTAAATTTAACAAAGATCAATTTTATTAGATCTAAAATATCATTTTGTGTTATCAACTTTCATTATAACTCATCAGTCTTTCTATTTTCTTTATAATTTTCTTTTTGTATTTGTTTTTTAAATAACAATTTAATTTTTAATAACTTCTGCATTTTTAAAATACGAGTTATTTAAATTTCATATTCATAAATAGTTTTCATATATAATTCCAGACTTTTATAATCAAACAATTGATTTCAGTTTTCTTTTTATAATTGCTAGTAAGGTTATTTAAGGCCACGCTTATCTACAAATTGTAGAAATTAACTTTTAAGCGTTACCAAAAGGCTAATGATTAAATCATATATAAAAAAGTTTTCAAAATAATTCTCACTCTTCTAGTTATTAGAATTTCTCATGAATTCTAAACGACATTTTTCGAGAATATTTACAAATTAATATTATTTAGAATCTTATTTATACGATGATTGATTATCGTAAAAAATATAATATTTACAATATTCTATAATTTCTTTTTAAGAAAAATATTAATGATTTTTTTTTTTTAGATTATACTAAAATAGACACACTCACATTCATTCTGTTTCACGCATGTAGGCTCTGTTGCTCAAGGTTGAATTTTGTCTAATGACCTTTAATTATCGCTTTCTCGATAATCGAAAAGGAAGACAATGTTTATTGATGTCTTGTGATTGTTATATTGGTTCATTACACTTTGAACACAACTTTGCTTCTCTGCAAAAACAAAAATATTAAATAAATTTTTGTCCACTTAATTTAAAAGAAAAAAATGTCTCTTTTAACTTACTCTAACAATTTTTGAAAGTTATTTCGAAGTTCATTATTGAGATTCGTTTCTAAAGCAAGGGCAGCCTCTTTTTCTCTCAATTGTTGTCTCAATTGATATATTGTATCTTCTAAAGCTTCAAAAATAGCCTTAAAAAATTGAAATTTCTAATTAGTTTTAAAACGCTTTTTTTTAATTGATTTTGTAAATTAATTTTTTATCAAACAAAATAGTTTAAAATTTAATAAATTAATTTATTTTACGATAATGATATTTATTATCACATTTTGACTCATTTTATTTATCATGAAAGTAAAGAAGTTCAAGTTTGCATGAAAGTCAATTATAAATTGAGAGATAAAAATAAAAAATCAGAGATTAATATTTTTTTTTCAATACTCACTCTCGATTCTTCAACTGTATCGGATAACGTTGGAGGCTCGTCGAGGCAAAAAAATTCTCGAACACATGATGTTAATACAAGTTCTGAAGAACTTAATAATCCATTAACAAATGCTTGAAGGCCACGTATTCGTTCTTCAAGAAAACTTGGCGCAAAATTATCACCCAACCATTTTTTACGAGGTAATGTTAAATGAGCAATTGGAACTTTTTGTCTACGTAATTGTGTCATCAAACGAACAAAATCAGTGTAACGACGAAAAACGAACCAACAATCTCCACTTTTTAACTCAACTCTTAATTTGTAAACCTATTTTATAATATTATATAATTAATAATAATAATAATTTTTTAGACGCAAAAAAACCAAATTCTAAAAGAAAACAAAAAGGACTTAATTTTCTTAATAAATTACTTACTGTAAATCTGGCTCTTTCTTCCATAACTTCATATCCAACAATGGGTATTCTTAAATCTTCGGCTAAAAGTGGCCCTTGAAATGTATTTGTATTACCATTTGAACTCGCTTCTTCGGGATAATTAAAGCTTTGTACTGTAAAAGAATTCGAATGTCCTGATAAATCAGAATCAGGACTATCAGGAGCTCGAACTGATCCTCCTTGTAAATTTTTAGCTTTACTAATGGCAAGTGTCACCTCGCTAACACAACCTATACCAGATTCCGAATTAGACATTTTACTGTCAACAAAAAATGAGAAATTAAAAATTAAATTTCTAAAAGAAATTAAATTTTATGTAAATTAAAAATTTTATTTATTTATTCTATTATATTATTTATTATTTCTATTATTTAATTTATTCTATAATTATATTTTCTTAGAATTTCTCAATAAGTTTTTATGAAAAATTATAATATAAATCTTATATATATATATAACTGATTGGATTTAAAATATATAATGAAAAATCGAAGAAACCAAAGTAGTTCAAAGTAGATGAAAATATTTATAATGTAACAAAATATTAATTTATAATTTAAAAAAAAAAGAAACAAAGAAAAACAAGCAATAATTATGATAATAATACAAATATCGACAAGAAAGAAATAAAACAAATAAACGATAACAAAAACTAACCTCAAAATTATTGATGATTGCTCAATTTAAAATATTCTCTTTAAACTATTAGATTATAAATCATATAATATAGGACATATTTTGCAATATAGATATAAGTTTTGCATTTTTTTGTAAAGTAGTTCACAACCACTGTTATTTAATAATCTAAACCACAAAAAGGCACAAAAGTGACAGCTGCTGTCGTCGAATAAAAAACTACTACGCCATGGTCCATGCAACTAAGGTTCCGCCACGCGCAGTTAAAAAAACTATCCAATAAGAGCCTAACTGACGGCCATATTGGAAATTCAACGCGCGCTTTTTAAAATTTTGTTTCTCTGCTAACTAAAAATTATTTTTCAACTTTTCTTTTTATAATAATTATTTTATAATTATTATAATTTTAAAATAATTAAAAGTGTAATAAAGTAAAAATTATCTAAATATTTCTAAAATTGAACAAAAATAAGCCTACGTAAGCAAAATTAGTGGCCCTGAAAAGGGCCGATTGTTATTTTTTTTTTTTTTTTGTCAGGAGGAAATTTAGCCGCCGAAACCGTAGAGAGTACGTCCTTGACGTTTTAGAGCGTAGACAACATCCATTGATGTGACTGTCTTCCTTTTAGCATGTTCGGTGTATGTAACGGCATCACGAATAACATTTTCCAGGAACACTTTCAACACTCCGCGAGTTTCTTCGTAAATCAATCCTGAAATACGTTTCACACCACCACGACGAGCAAGACGGCGAATTGCCGGTTTTGTGATACCCTGGATGTTATCGCGAAGAACTTTACGATGCCTTTTCGCTCCTCCTTTTCCCAATCCTTTTCCTCCTTTTCCACGGCCGGTCATTTTCTTCTAGTAATGAAACAGTGTTCAACGAACGAGATGATAACAGAGAATGATAATTGAAAATTTTTTTCTACTTGCTTTTATATCATCGATATGAGCGTTTACCCCCACTCTAAATTCAATGGCCAATCATTACCCCCTCCCCAAATGAAACGACCAATCAGAAGAAAGCAAGGCCCAGTAAAATTGTTACTGCAACGTTGAGACCAGCTCATTCTCGTGTAGTCTCTCGTTCAGTGAAGACGTTTTCGTGTTTTTTTAAAAAAAATGGCTCGTACCAAACAGACTGCTCGTAAGTCAACTGGTGGAAAAGCTCCCCGGAAACAACTCGCGACAAAAGCAGCAAGAAAAAGTGCACCAGCAACTGGAGGAGTAAAAAAGCCACATAGATACAGGCCCGGAACTGTCGCTCTCAGGGAAATTCGTCGGTATCAAAAAAGTACCGAACTTTTGATTAGGAAATTACCTTTCCAACGTCTCGTTCGTGAAATTGCTCAAGACTTTAAGACTGATTTACGTTTCCAAAGTTCAGCTGTCATGGCCCTTCAGGAAGCTAGTGAAGCCTATTTGGTTGGTCTTTTCGAAGATACCAACTTGTGTGCCATTCATGCTAAACGAGTCACAATTATGCCAAAAGATATTCAATTAGCTCGTCGTATCCGGGGAGAACGTGCTTAATTTCCCACTTGCAAAAAAAAAAAGAAAAACAAAAAAAAAATCAATCGGCCCTTTTCAGGGCCAACAATTGTTTTTTTACTGGGAATTATTTAAGTATTTGTTTTAAATTGTGGTGTTCAGGTCAAAATATCATAGTTAATTTAAAAAGTAATATTTTTATTTACTTGATTTCGGAATCGGGTTATTTATAAATTAATATTATATATAACGTTAAATTATATTTTTTAAATCTGAAAATTTTTTAAGGTTATATTTTATATTTGATTTATATTTTAAAAATTTTATAGTATATTATTTTTGTTTCCAGTAATTTAAGTTTAATTAACGTAATATTTTGAAAGCTGTTTACCTAACGTTTCCTAGGTTTTGTGTACAAAAAGTGTCAACATTTTTGTTCCATTCAAAACAAAAACATCTACACGAAGGTCAAAATTTATCTCTTATTCAAAATATAACTGAATCATTTAAACGGTTAAAATTCTGAATTTATAGAAATCTATATTATGAAAAATAAAATATAGAAAATGTAAATTTATTTGTGTTAAAATAAATTTTATGAATTTTTAAAAATATAATTAATAATAAATAAATTTAATAGATTAATAATATAATAATTTTTAGATAATTAAATCTAATTTATATTTACTTAATAATGCTAGGAATTAATCAAAATTAAATTTAATCCATTATATAAAGAATAAAATATAGAAAATATAAATTGATTTATGTTAAAATAAATTTTAGCAATTTTTTGAAAATATAAATAATAATAAATAAATTTATTTCGCAAATATTTTATAATAATTTTCAAAATATTAAATCTAATTTATATTTACTTACACTGAAAAAAAAATATATTCGATTCAAATAATCGGTTACTTGACTGTTATCAAATAAATATTTATTTGTATGAAATAATTTTTAGTCAATTAAATTGTATTCGTTTCAAATACAGAAATTATTAATCAAAATACAATTTATTTAATTCAAATAAATATTTATTGAATAGTCAAGTATTTGAATGAAATAAATTTTTTTTCAGTGTAATAATGTTAAATCAAGAATTAATCAAAAATTAAATTTGATTAAGGTACATAAAATTATTTTTTCATCCAAATAGAAAAAGAACAAAAATTTAATCCAACGTGTCAAAAATTTGGTGGCCCTGAAAAGGGCCGATTGTTATTATTTTAGTTTCATTTTTTTTTTTTTTTTTTTTTTTTTTTTATTTTCAAAGTTACTTGGAGCTGGTGTATTTTGTCACAGCTTTGGTACCTTCGGAAACAGCGTGTTTCGCAAGTTCACCGGGAAGAAGAAGTCTCACTGCAGTCTGAATCTCCCGTGATGTAATTGTTGATCTCTTATTGTAATGAGCCAAACGTGAAGACTCAGATGCAATACGCTCAAAGATATCATTTACAAAACTGTTCATAATATTCATTGCCTTACTCGAAACTCCGGTATCAGGATGAACTTGTTTCAAAACTTTGTAAATATAGATAGCGTAACTTTCCTTCCTCTTCTTCCGCTTGACTTTCTTATCGGACTTGCTGATATTTTTCTGGGCTTTACCAGATTTTTTTTCAGCCTTTCCACTTGTTTTAGGAGCCATCTTGAAACTAATTTTTTTTTTCAGACACAGATATTCACTAGACGATAAACGAAGACTGAATGTAGAAAAACTTTTTTTCGCGTTTATTTTATAGAGTTCTGAAGTAAAGAACGCGCACCAATGAGAGCGAAGTATACGATAGCTGATCAACGGTTGGTGGGGGATTTTTCGATCATTAGGTATATAATAAGAGGGGAAAAGTTATAAAATTTCATTGTTTCGACTCGAATTACCGAGTAATTATTATCCTCGACCAAAAAAAAAGTTAAATTTTTGACTCACAATGTCTGGACGTGGTAAAGGAGGAAAAGCAAAGACAAAGTCAAAGACACGTTCAAATCGTGCTGGACTTCAATTTCCAGTTGGTAGAATTCATCGTTTATTGCGTAAAGGAAATTATGCTGAACGCGTTGGAGCTGGAGCGCCCGTTTATTTGGCAGCTGTCATGGAATACTTGGCCGCCGAGGTTCTTGAATTAGCTGGTAATGCTGCGAGAGATAATAAAAAATCGAGAATCATTCCAAGACATCTTCAGTTGGCCATCAGAAACGATGAAGAATTAAATAAGCTTCTTTCTGGAGTTACCATTGCTCAGGGTGGTGTACTGCCAAATATTCAGGCAATTCTTCTACCCAAAAAGACAGAAAAGAAAGCTTAAATTTCTTTTTTTTTAAAAAAAAGAAACACCAAATAAAACAATCGGCCCTTTTCAGGGCCACCAAATTTTTAACACGTTGGTTTTATTTTAATTATTAAACATATTTTTATTAAATTATAATTTCATTCGATTTTAATTTCAGTTGTGTATAAATAATAATTACATAATTAATTTTAAAGATCGAAATTTTAATTAAAAATACATTAGTAAATTAATTAGGTAAATATTAAATAGATAATTTTCTATTAATATTTAATAGGATTTTATTTTTCAATATTATACAAAAAAAATTCAAAAAGAAAAATAAGGTTCTATTAATACGAATACATTTATTATACGAAAATGATCTTTTTGACCTTTAGTGTTTATTTTACAGATGTTTTGATTTAAATACGTTAGCATTTCGTATATTTGAAATATACGTGGAATTCTCGATAGTTTAACACGTGGCGAAATATATAATTTATAGATTAAATTTAGTCTTATTTTATAAATTTATTTATTCTATTATTTATATTATTACTACTATATGAAATATAAATGTAATTAAATATTTTACTTTTATTATTTTATAAAATATATAAATAATATTATGATATATTTTTTTTTTTTTTAATATTTTATTTATTTTTATTTAATTAAATTAGATAAATAAAAATAGTTGTCATTAAATTACCTAATTATAATTAACTTGAATCAAAACTTAAATTAACTCGAATAAAAAAAATAATTATAACTGATTAAAAAATTGAAATTTAAAAAATCAATTAATTAAAAATTTGTTTAAATAATAATAAAATGAATAATGTTTGAAAACAAGTATTCTTCGTAAAAAAACAATTGTTGGCCCTGAAAAGGGCCGATTGATTTTTTTTTTTGTTTTTCTTTTTTTTTTTTTGCAAGTGGGAAATTAAGCACGTTCTCCCCGGATACGACGAGCTAATTGAATATCTTTTGGCATAATTGTGACTCGTTTAGCATGAATGGCACACAAGTTGGTATCTTCGAAAAGACCAACCAAATAGGCTTCACTAGCTTCCTGAAGGGCCATGACAGCTGAACTTTGGAAACGTAAATCAGTCTTAAAGTCTTGAGCAATTTCACGAACGAGACGTTGGAAAGGTAATTTCCTAATCAAAAGTTCGGTACTTTTTTGATACCGACGAATTTCCCTGAGAGCGACAGTTCCGGGCCTGTATCTATGTGGCTTTTTTACTCCTCCAGTTGCTGGTGCACTTTTTCTTGCTGCTTTTGTCGCGAGTTGTTTCCGGGGAGCTTTTCCTCCAGTTGACTTACGAGCAGTCTGCTTGGTGCGAGCCATTTTTTATTTTTCTTCTGCGTAACGAAAATCGAATCACAGTAATCAAAACGAGAATAATGATACAAGACATTTATGCGGCTGTTTATATACTCAAGTGAGAAATCAAGTGGTGGGGGATTAAAAATCGTTTAATTGGACAGTACTGTAAAGGGAGGGGGATAAATTGCAGACAGAGGATATAAAAAGGCTATGAAAGACATTGAAACTTTATTCTCGCTTTGTCTTTGATTGTTGACGTGTTTTCGTTGTCGCCGAAAAAAGAAAAAAATGACTGGACGTGGTAAAGGAGGAAAAGGTTTGGGAAAAGGAGGAGCAAAAAGGCATCGTAAAGTTCTTCGCGATAACATCCAGGGTATCACAAAACCGGCAATTCGCCGTCTTGCTCGTCGTGGTGGTGTGAAACGTATTTCAGGATTGATTTACGAAGAAACTCGCGGAGTGTTGAAAGTGTTCCTGGAAAATGTTATTCGTGATGCCGTTACATACACCGAACATGCTAAAAGGAAGACAGTCACATCAATGGATGTTGTCTACGCTCTAAAACGTCAAGGACGTACTCTCTACGGTTTCGGCGGCTAAATTTCCTCCTGACAAAAAAAAAAAAAAAATAATAACAATCGGCCCTTTTCAGGGCCACTAATTTTGCTTACGTAGGCTTATTTTTGTTCAAATTTAGATAATTTTTACTTTATTAAACTTTTAATTTTAAAATTATAATAATTATTATAAAAAGAAAACTATTGTTCAAAAATTGAAAATGTTATATGACAATTTGATATAAAAATATTTATATTAGTATTTAATAATTAGAAAACCTGTTCAAGAATCAAAATAAATTCCTTGTTATAAACAGTTGGTGGCCCTGAAAAGGGCCGATTGTTTATGAATTTTACGAAATGCTGTTGACAATTCTATCAGTTCTACTTGACAGACTTCTTGGCACTTCGTTTAGCTTTTGTGATTGGAACTTTTTTGGAAGAAGCCTTTTTGGCCTTGGTGACTTTAGGCCTAGCTGTTGTTGATTTTACTTTTGGTTTTTTACCACCAACTTTTGTTGTCTTCTTCTTCTCAGCAACGATCTTCTTTGCTTTACGTGGAGCCCTTTTTATAAGAGTTGTTTTTCTTGCAGATGGTTTTGCATTTTTATCTTTGACAGATAATTTAAATGATCCTGAAGCCCCATGTCCCTTTGGTTGAGCAATAACACCATTGGCAACTGCAGTCTTTAAGAATTTCTTGATAAAAGGAGCAAATTTATCAGCATCAATTTCATATGTTGCAGCAACATATTTTTTGATAGCTTGTAAAGATGATCCTTTACGATCATGTAATTCTTTAATGGCAACAGTAACCATCTCCGATGTTGGTGGATGTTTTTTTATTACTTTTCCTTCACTCATTTTTTTTCCAAGATGAAAAAAAAGAATATATCAATTTAAAATAACTTTGACAAATTTGATAACACAATACACCGCACTTTAATGATTGCGCAATGTTTTGAACTGTAGACTTATCAAAACGCACGGACGGTAAAGAAAGACCTCTTCGCATATTGACTACCTAACTTCCTATTTTCCTAAGTTCCTATCACCTTCCCAACAAGAATTTTATTATTTTAATCATAATAATTCTAGTTTTTTTCTTATTAATTTCTTATGTATTTTTTGAATGATAATATTAGATGATAAAGAGAAAATAATTTTATAAAAATTAATTGTTTAACAGATTAAAATAGTAAATATATTCATTTCAAGCCGAAAGCAATTATGAAGTTTAGTAATAAAACATAATAAAAAAGCAATTTTTTAAAAATATTTTTCAAAAATAATCAAAGTAAATATTTGTCATTTGTTTTTTTTGTTTAATAAAAATATTTACTCTCGTTTTATTAATACAATGAGACTGTAATAAAACACTTAAAGTGAAAAGTAAGAATTAATATTACAGAACAAAGGATTCTAAATCGTATTTAATCGATTTTATGTTTTATAAAAATTTTGACAATATTAAAATTTATTTAAATGAAATTTTATCATATAAATGTAAAAAAAAGAAACTTTTTTAATTAATAAATATTTCTTTGTTGATTACAATTAGATATTTTTATTTCTTGAAATAAAATAAAACGTAATTAGTCCTTAACTATTTTTGATATTTATCAAAATATTGTTGTTATTATTATATTATCAGTTATAATGTATAAACAATTAATTTGCAAACAAACAAAAATTAAATATAATTTTTTTCTATTTTAATATTTATATTATAATATTGCACAATATTTTTTCTGCGCAGTTAATATTCCTAACGAAAAAAAAACTGCTAATTTTATTAACAAAAATATGTTTTTTTAAACAAAGTAATTAAAATTTTTTTTAATTATTATTTATTATTAATAAAAAAATTAATTATTATTATTAGAAATAATTAATTTAATTATCATTAAATTTATCATATAATTAATTTGCATAAAATTTTTAATTAGTAATACTTTATTACAACAAATTTGGTACATAAATATACATAGTTAGGGCCTATTATTTTTGAGTAACTGTTGTATAAATTTTTAAATTTTGTCGCTTGAATTTCATTTCTAATTCTAATTTATGCGATTAAAAATTTTAATTAATTATTTGCCAAAAAAATTTCATTCAATTATAGGTATCTTTCAATAATGTCACTAATAAAATAAAATCTATATATTGAATTTCATAAAAAATGAAATTTATGAAAGCTCGAAAATTGTCAAAAATTAATACTGAAAATTATGTTTTACTTTAGATAAACTGTACAAGAGTAAAAGAATGAAGTTAAAAATTAAAACTATAACTATACTTAATTATTAATTCAATAGTCTCTTAAAAAAAAAATCTTAAGCCATCAAAAAACATATTTAAATTATTTAACTAAAAACTATCTTAAACTGTAACAAAATTTCAAATTATTAACAAAATGAAATTAACAAAAATTATTAATTAATAAAATTCATTTTAAAACTGTAAATAATTTAACTAAGAAAATCTATAATTATGTAATTAAAAAAAAAGCTAGTTATCTATTTCAGTAAAATTTCACTGACAGTAAAATTACCATACATAAATAATACGAATTTAATTAAATAAAAAGACATTTAAAAAATTATCAAAGAATTGAAAAACATAAATATTTTCAAATAAAAAAATATTAAAAAATTTTTTTTTTTAATAATAATTAAATTATTATAGATATATTAAATATTTTTTAAAAATGTAATTAATTTTTGTAATTTACCGAGCTTTTTGTTAAACACGATTGGAGATTTAAAATTTACTTTTTCAAAGTACTCGAGCCTTAGCGATTAAAATCTTAATTATTATTTTTTTTTTTTTTATTTTTAGTATCCAGTGGGATAATTTTTATTTCTTGAAAAAATTTTTTTTAACTGTAAAGCTTCTAAATTTGAGAAAAAAACTAAATTAACAAATTTGAGGTTTTTTCTTCTTTTTTTTTAACGGTTAATAATCACAGAAATATCACTAAGTCTTAACATCACTCACGTGAGATTGAAATGAGGCAACATTTGTAATCAACGGAATGTTCTTGCTACTTTGAAGGCTCGAATGACTCGACGAACGACTATGACTTTGACTTCCGGCACCAACTGGAGTTTGAACCAATGGCTGAGGTGGTGTTCTTGCTCCTGAACCATTACTTGCATTTGAATTTGGTTGCATTTGCATGTGATATTTATAAATATTTTCCGTACTCTCAACAACGCCTGTAAATAATTAATTAATTAATTAAAAAAGGAATTAAATATTACTAATTTTTACAAATATGGAAAAATTTAATTATTTCTAAATAAAAAAGGAATTTTTTTTTTAAATTTACCAGCTTGTAAATTTAAACTTCGTCCTCTAACGGAGGATTCAATTGGCGGACTCCACCAATTGACAAATGTTCCCACAACAGGAACGTGTCGTAAAATTCCTTCTTGCCAAAGTTTTTCCGCATTTTCCCGTTCTAAATCAGTTTGCGCCGCTTCAATTCCTCTTTTCACTACTTCCGACATTGTATCCAATAATTTTGAACTCGCTTCAACTTCCTGACCAACTTGAAGAATTAAAGTGAGCATTTCTGCCACATCTAGAAATAGAAATAAAATTTGAAAAATTTACATACATAAATTAACTTTTTTTTCGCAATATTTTTTACCCGTATCCTGTGTAACCATTCCAAATCGAACGCAAGCAAGTCCATCGGCACTTTCACCGAGTGAAAAAGCAGCATCCGTACTTCTTAATGTTTCCACAAGTTGTGTATTCAATTTATTAAGTTCCTCCTTTGTCTGATCGGTCATGACATTAATCCAAGTTGGTGGTGCATAACGAACACCACCTAAACCAGCCCATCCTGCCATTTCAACTAAATGCAATGAATCATTATTTGTCACTAATTTTATAAATGTATCCTTATGATGTACAGTTGCAATGAGAATTTCAATTTGTTGCTCAAGACAAGCGACAATATTGTCAACATCATCGCTTGTTGGCGGTTTCTCTAAACTTTCCAATGGACAAATACGAATTGAAACACCGTGTTGTTCAATTTCACAAAGTTCAATTTGCACATTATCAATGTCCCTTTGCAATATTTGTCCTAACCAGGAATTTAATTTATCATAATAAATTGGCACACGTTCAATTGACTCAGCATCATAATTGGCCGGTACAAATTGAAAAACAAAGGCACTTGTCACAATTTCAAATAATTGATGACTATTTACAGGATTAACGACTAAATCTGACGTGACTGTTTCAAGTTCTCCACCCGGTGACTGACTCTGAAAAAGAAAAATTAGAAATAGAATAGAAAAAATAATTACATACATATACATTAATTAAATACGGGGCGGTTCAAGTTCTACACATTTAGATTCTACACAAGTTCAATTTTGCACAATTTATTTGTTAAATTCTACACAGTTAAATTCTACAAAATAAATTTATAAATTTTGTTAAATTCTGCACTATTAAATTCTACACACGTTTATATAATAAAAAAAAGATTAATTTTGTTAAATTCTACACAGTTAAATTGAACATCGTTAAATTCTACACTAATTAGTTGTTGGATAATTTAAAAAAAATTTTTTTTTTTAAATTCTACACAATTAAATTGCACACCGTTAAACTCTACCAGGGTGTCTACTAAAAATCTGAATTAAAATTCCAGGACTTTTTCAGGACTTTCCAAGACAAATTTCTTATTTTTCCAAGACATTAAATTGGATGACCTTAAGGAATAAAAAATTTTTTAGTTTAACTATTGTTTTCAGAAATTATTAAAAAAAGTAATTAATCACTTAAGTAAATTTTCATTTTACTTATTCAATGATTTTTTTTTAACTTGATTGACAAAATTCTAAATTTTTGAAAATTTAAAAGCAAAATATAAAAAATTCAAGGAGAAAAATTAAAATTCCAGGACTTTTAAGGACATTCCAGGACATTTCCAGGACTTCCAGGACTAGTAGATACCCTGTCTACACACGTTTATTATTTAAATATAAAAATAATTTTAATAAATTCCACAGAATTAAAATTGCACACTGTTAAATTCTATACAAATTTATTTTTAAAAAATGGGAATTATTGATTGTAAGGAAATTATTTATTTAAAAAAAAAATGACGTTGACAGTAACGAATTTTTTATTGTGTGGGAAAGTAACGGCAATGCGTTACAATATTTTAGCAAAAAAATTTGAAAGAAATTAAAAAACAGATCTATAAATTTGGTAAAAAAAATTACGCTTTACATTAATAAATAAACGCAAATATATATCAAAAAATAAATATTCGGGTAATGTTATATTAAATTTAACTTAGTTAGCTTAATTAAAAAATAATTTTATCAATAATTTAACTGTATAGACTTGAAAATAATCAAATTTTTCTAATAAAAAAAATGTGTAGAGTTTAGCGGTTTAAATTTGAATGTGTAGAATTTTAATGGGAATAATAATTCCCATTTTTTAAAAATAAATTTGTGTAGAATTTAACAGTGTGCAATTTAATTCTGTGGAATTTATTAAAATTATTTTTATATTCAAATAATAAACGTGTGTAGAGTTTAACGATGTGCAATTTAATTGTGTAGAATTTAAAAAAAATTTTTTTTTAATTATCTAACAACTAATTAGTATAGAATTTAACGATGTTCAATTTAACTGTGTAGAATTTAACAAAATTAATTTTTTTTTATTATATAAACGTGTGTAGAGTTTAATAGTGTAAAATTTAACAAAATTTATAAATTTATTTTGTAGAATTTAACTGTGTAGAATTTTACAGTAATAATTTTCATTTTTTAAAATAAATTTGTGCAGAATTTAACGGTGTTTAATTTAACTGTGTAGAATTTAACAAAATTAATATTTTTTATTATATAAACGTGTGTAGAATTTAACAGTGCAGAATTTAACACAACTAATAAACTGCGAAGAATTTGTTTTGTAGAATTTAACTGTGTAGAATTTATACGGTGTTGAATCTAAATGTGTAGAATTTGAACCGCCCCTTAAATACATACCAATATTCTTATGCAGCTAAATTTCTTAATTTTATTATATAACTCTTCAACAATTAAGAAGCATTGTCTAATTCTATTTTGAACTCCATCTCTGCCAAGAGCTTGTAAAGCGGTCCAAAGTGGCAAAGTTGGTAAACGTCTCGATAAAGAATCCATCATTAAACCGGATACCAATGACAATGTTGTGTCTCTCGACGTTGGTCGTCCACCTCTTGAATCCGTTAATCTATACAAAGTCTATTGAAATTAAATTAAGAAAAATATTCCCTTCCATTATCATTCACCAATTTTTTTCTTGAAAAAAAAAATTAAAATAATTTAATTCAAAAAAAATTAAAAACAAATTAATTAAACTTAAAGGATACAGCTACTGGTAACGATGGTATTCCAAGCCAAATACCAAGGGGCAATGTGACACTGTCAGCAATTTTCAAAGGCTGTAATAAAAATCGAAATTTTTATAAAAAATTCAAATTTTCAAAAGTAAAAATTAAATAATTTTTTAATAGTAAAATTAAATAATTTTCAATACCAAGTCTTTTGTAGAATTACTTAATGCCAATGCGGCAAGGGAATGTCCTCGTAGATGTAACCAAACATTATATTTATCACAAATTTCACGAAGTCTATTAATATTATCGCAATGTCCCGTTAAAATAGAGCCAGCTTCAGCTAAAACTAATAATGGTGTCACTGAATTTGATTGTGCATCCTCGGCTAAACGTCGTTCCAATGCCGAAACATCCATACAATAACGGGAACCAAACATCGTATTTTGTGGAATTGGACGTATACAATGAAATGGCAACGAGAGCTAAATAAAAATTTCCAAAAATTAAAAAAATTAAATTAAAATACAAAGAGAAAAAGAAAGCAAATTAATTATTTATTAAATTTAATTATTACTAGAGAATGGTAGATTATGCATTTAGAGATCCTCTAATTATGCAAATTTTCTGACAAATTAAAATTCGAAGAAATTGACTTTCTGGGAAATTAAAATTCGATCAAATTTGAATTCTGCCAAATTAATTTACGATCAAATTATCTTTTTGATAAATTAATATTCGAACAAATATACATTTTGGTAAAGTAGATTTCTGTCAAATTGTTTTTTTGGCACTATTTACTATTCTATAAAACAATGTTTCGGGAAAATTTAAATTCGATAAAATTTAATTTCTGTCAAATTAAAATTCGATCAAATTGATTTTCTGCCCAATTAAAATTCAATAATATTGACTTTCTGGCAAATTAATAATCTGCTGATTAAAATTCTATCAAATTTAATTTCTAACAAATTTGTTTTAGAGCTTATTTATGCGTTCCATTATTACCTGTCGACATAAATGTTGAACAACTCCCAATGGTGCCGAAACACAACTGTAAATTAAAGGCGGAGACGATGCAAAAGCAGAGAAACCATCCTCCATATAACGTGGATATTTTTTGTGCAATGCAAGTTTTGTAACACGCACCAAACCCTCAAGATGATCATCATGAAACGAAGATGCACAATCAACAAAACGAAAAATATGACTCAACCATCGAGTTGTATCAGCAGCTAATCTTCCAGCAAGTCTTTGAGCATGATTTCTCGGCAATGCAACTGCATACGCTGATATTGTATGAGCGATTAGAGTTAATTTTGCCGCGTCAGTTAATGTTGGTAAATTTGCCACTTGGCTTGTCATTGTCTCAGTTTTTCCATCGTCAATTATATGTGGAATGTCTTCATGTGTCACCAAATCCTATTAATTAAAAAAAAAAAAAAAAAACAATATAATTTTATTTGAAAATTATTTTCTAACCTCAAATTATTTTCAATTTGCAAATTATAATAATTTGTTAATAAAAATTAAATAATGTAAAATGTATTCAAAAATTCTAACCTCAAATTATTTTTATTTTGACAAATCTTAATTTTTTATAAATAATAAATCAAATATAGCCACGTGATAAACAATGAATATTTGTTACCAAAAGAATGAACCAATGGCATGTCAGAATTTATAATCAACAACCAATCGTAATACAGTAATGGATTCCTTTAATAATATTTACCTGAATTAATCCAAGAATATCTTCGGGACATTTAGAATGTGTCAAAAAACCTGATGGATTATCCCAGCTTGATCCACCGGTTTCTGTACCTTTTTCAACAGCTTCCTCAAGGCGGGATATAACTTGTGATGCTTGAAATTCAAGAGCAACGACATCGTTATCTGTCTCTCCGGCATTGACCTGTCAAAAAAAAAATTTTTTTTTCCACATTTATTAATTTCAACTGTATATTTTTGATTAATTCACAAAATTGTTTTTACACACTTTGACAAATAGAAAAAATTAAATTTTTTTTTCCCAAACCTCAAGAATATTCTGCGTTATATTTTCCATCGTCGTTTTTTCGTTTTCAACTTCTTCAGCCATCGTGGCAATTGTGCCAGTGCTGTAGCTAGAGTGTCAATAAATTTTTTTTTTTCAATTTTATAAAAAAATAAGGATAAAAATTAGAAAATTATTTTATTTTGAAGAATAATAAGAAAATATTGTTTTTAAACATTTTTTGTGAAATTTAAATGGAAAACAAATTAAAAATGGTGGGGTGGGGGGATTCACCTTTTTTTACGTCCCTTATTTTATCGATAATGCGACAATTATCTTTAAAAATTATAATTAACCTTGAATATTCATATTTCCAGTATAATTAATTTTTATTTTTTATATTTTGAATATAAAATTATATTCGGTAGATTAGTGTATATAGAAAAAATGTATTTGTTTCTAACTTTATTATACAATTTTTTTTTTTGATACTATAAACACAAGTAGAATAAAATGTAAGTTAACAAAAACAACTTATACTTATGAAATTTCGGATACACCGCCAGCTTTGGCTAACGCTTCTTTTAATTGTTCAGCTTCTTCTTTTGATATATCACTTTTTACAACAACAGGGACACTTTCAACAAACTTTTTAGCCTGAAATTAATTTCAAAAAAAATTTACATTTTTACAATAAGTCAATTATTTTTTACGAGTTTAATAAAAAAAAAAAAAACTGTTTCATATTTACAATACCTGAACGAGATTTGTTCCAGGAAGAAGAGCTTTAATTTCCTTGATAAGTGTAACTTTTTTACTGTCCTCAAAACTTGTTAGTTTAATTGTAAATGCAGTTTGTACGGTTTTTGGAGCTTCAACTTCTTCATCTTCTTTCTAAAATGAAAAATTTTTTGACACTTTTGCGAATTATATTTTATTTAATTACTTTTTACCTGCGGAGCTACTTGAAAACCACCCATTGGCATAACAGGTGCATCAGGAAGATTTAATCGTTTTTTCAAAACATCACTCAATTCTGCGACTTCAATTAAATTTAATGCAGAAATTTCATTTGCAATTTTGTCAATTTTAGCACTGACTGGTTTGTCAACTCCTTCAGGTACTGGAATTGTCATTTTTTCTGCAACTGCAGCAGAAGCTTCAGTTTGGCACAGAGCAATGCTGAAAAACATTTTTTTAAAAAAAATGTTAATTTTAGCAAAAAAAAAAAAAAAAAAAAAAACAAACAAATGTTTATCATTGATACAAAAACAGATTTAATAAACAAATTGTAAATTAAAAACTCGATCCTAAAAGCTAATTTTTATTCTTCAACTAAAAAAGCACTCATTGTTTTTTTTAAACTTTAAATTCCGGTTGATAAAAAAACGTCGAAATTGAGGTTATGTTACATTATAAAATATATATTAATGTGTCGCTATTTTTAATTAAGAACATTACTATTCTTACCATTTGTGAAATTGTCGTAATTGATGTACATTTTTTTGTAATACTATGCGAATGGAATTCATTTTTGTTGATAAATTCTATATAATTTATTAATAACAAATCCAACCACACCGCTTGCTTGTTTCAAAAAGATACCTAAAGGTGGCGCTCCTCTAGAACCACAATGCGCATGCTCGGCAAACTAGCGCTAAAATTCAAATCTCGTAAAAAAATAAAGGAAAACAATCTAAAATAACTTTCAATAATTTAACGAAATGAAAATATTATATTTTATTAATTTAAATAATTACACATATTATATGATTTCGATTCGATATTTAATTCATTATTGTAACCATAACAATCATCAAATAAAAATAACAATATACAGGAAAATGTACAATTTTTTTTTTTTATCTCTATACAAATTTGATGTTCAAAGTATTTCTTTTTTTTCATTACATATTATTCTTTCTTATAAATATTGCACGCTGGATCTATATCATCTTTTTTTTTTAACCGTTCCGACACAAGAAAGGAACATGACGATTCGATTTAAAAATAAACAAACACAAAACAGAACATTAAACACCTTTTTTTTTGCGTTTTGTGAAAATTCTTCACACAAATACTGTCTGGTTACACACATCTGTCGTAAAAGCTCGAGAGAAATGAATGCTGTGCACAATTCTACAAAAAGCTTGAATTTAAATTTTATATACAGTCGAACCTCATTGAATGGGAAATAAGAATATAGAAAAAAATTTTTGTCAGTCTTCATCAGACTTATATAGTCGAAATTTTCATTACAAAAAGAGAATAAAAAAAGTGCTTTTATAAACAGTCGTACCTGTTTAAGTGAGACATTTTTATTTTTATATTTTTTTATAGAGAGATCTATTAAAATTATTTCAGTTTACTAAAAATATTTTCATGATCCCAAGATTTTTTAATTTATGTTTCACTTAAACAAGGTCCGACTGTAAATTAAACACAGGTGGCAGAAAAAAAAAATTCATATTGTCCTTTTTCGATTTTGGCTCATAAATATTTCATGCAAAAATAAAAATAATTATCATACAGTCAAACCTAATTAACTGGGACATTGATTCAATTACTGAGAATATTTTTCATAATTTTACTGAATAATTTATCAAATTAAATCGAATCCCATTTAAACAGGTTCAACTGTAAAACAAATGGATGGGAATCCCTTTCTACATTCTTTGTTTTGCCATAATTTTTCCTTCTAAACTGTCCGCCATGTTTTTTTTTTTTTATTCGTCGGAAAACAAAAAAGAAAGACAATTTTTAAAAAGGCGCAAACATATATAAATCTTATCTACAAAAATCTTAAGCAAATTTACGTTTACTAATTAATAAGGCAATTTCGATGTCTGACAGTTTCTTTCAATAGATTTCCCTATCCTTCATGACGGATCGGCTACTACGACTAGTTTCAGAAAAAAAAAATGTGTGTAATTTATATTTATTATTATATTGTGTTATTTACAAATTACTACTGTCAAAAAAGAGCGGTGTTTTCGATTATTATATAGAACTCGAACATAATCGAGGCTAAGTCTTTTGCATATTTATATATAATATTTTTTTTTATACGAATAATTGAAATCTTGAAACAGATTCGCGCTCATTATTTTGCCGTCAAAAAAATAGAGTCGCCTTATAGAATTAATTAAAAATTTTATATATATATGCATAAATGTACAAATATAAGCTTAAAAATCAATTTCTGAACGTTCAAATGAAATAATAATTTTGAATTTAATTACACTCAATATTGCTATCAATATTAAAAATATTTAGTTTTAATTTATTTTTTATCTTTCAGTATGAAAGTTCAGAATTTTATGAACACTAACAAAAGGGTCTATTTTTTTAACATTTTAATTTATTTTGTAAAATAATTACTGTATTTATTTTCTGATATTATTTTACTTTTTGAAATAATTTTTCAATTATTAATTATATTTATAATTAAATCATAGACCCTTTTAAATTAATCGTGTAATGCAAAATTAATAAATTTTCTATGTAAATATTAAAAAGGAAGACAAGTTTATTAACGCGATAATTGACCAGAAATGGTAGTGACTCTATTTTTTCAAAAATAAAAAAAAAAAAATAAAAAAAAAAATTACAAGTTTTCCTTAGCAAAATAGGAATAACTCAACATAATTCAAATAATATACAATAGTTAGAAAATAGACGGCATTTGATGTGTTTTTTTTCTGGTTTATAAGTAAACCAATAATTACAAAAAAAAAAAAAAAAAAAAAAAGATTCCTAAACTAATGTCATGTTTGACCAATCGGGCCATACTTACAAACTGTACGAAAAGTACAGTTGAACCGATTATTTTTTTCTCTAAATTAACGAATTTAACTAGCCTTATCTACAAGTTTGTTCAAATAAATACAAGAGATATAATAAAATCTACACGCGTTTTTTGTTTCTTTTTTTTTCGTTTTTCACACGGTCTTTTGGCTCAGTTCCTTTTTGGAAAATGACTAACGAAATAAAAAAAAGAAATGGCCATTTGAAATTGATAAATTACGCGAAAATTTAATTTTTTATCGTTTAGTTCGTGTCAATCAAAGACAAAAACGAAAGTTATTTTTTACTAATTTCGATATTGAATTCTAAATTCGAATTCTATTTTCTCGGAATAACTTTCACTTTTTCTTTATATATATGTATATATATTTATATATAGATAATAGAAATTATTCTCTTCGATATTCCATTTCACAAATCGAATTAGTCGTTTTCCTTTTACGATTACGAGGGAGGCACGAATGTAAATACTAGACTGGTAAAAAAAAAAGTTCATACTCATTTAGAGAGGAGATAATTTTCTTTCCTTCCAAGAAATTGTTTGTGAGTCTATATCGAAAAAAAACTCCCATCAAGTTTCATTTTTCAACAACATTGTAATTCCTCCAAGTTCAAGCTCTTTTTGTGATCAATGATCACGAGAGCCTCGAGAGAGAGGATTTTTTGTTGGACCCAGGGCTTCATTTCCATGGGACAAAACAGTCTTTGAATTCATTAAACCGACAAATTCGGTTTCTATTCACTGCAATTTTTAACTCTTCGAACTTTGCGTTTTTTGAGCCTTCTTCTTTCTCGCTGCCAACATATCGTAGAATGGATTATGCGATATACTTTGCCTGTAAATAAAAAATTTAATTATTCATAAAAATTTTATTTTCTATAAAAGGATAAAAAATAATTTAAAAAATATTTCTGTGGTATTTTTTTACAAAAAAAAAAAATTAATTTCCCTTTGGAAAAAATCTTACCGAACACATTTGATCCATTCGTCTTTTTCCTCGTCAGTCGCAGCTGACATTCTATAAACTGTATGTTTTCCTAAAACAAAAACAAAAAATTGATTAAAAATATTTTTAAATTAAAATCGAATTAATGAATTAAATAGATTAAATAGAATAGAAATTCTAAACGAAAATAGAAAGAATAGAAACGAAAATTTGAAATCACGTAAAGAAAGCAGGAAAAAGATTTCTGAAATCAGTTGCGAGCCAATTAACTTCCTTTCAATGCAAATCTGTCACCTCTTCCATTTTTAGAAGGAAAAAAGAAAAAATTTCCCTCCGCTCGCGCAAAGAATATTTAATGCGCGATTAGCATCAGATTGTAGAAAACAGTTGGAGTGTGATGTGAATGCATTGAAATGATCTCATTGTTATTATTATCATCATTATAATCATCGTTAGCCAGTTGTATATTATAAAAAAAAAAAAAACAATAATATACCTTCAACGACCTTTCCTTCGCTGTCTGTCTTACACGCCTTGATGAACTCGGAGCCAGCGGCGTAGAGCTCAAAGCAATGAGGCTTGTGTCGATCCTGTACTTCTCTGACCTGGATGTTCTCCAGCGGAATGATACCACGTGGTTCTTTGTCGGTCGTGTACTCGAAATAGTAAAGACAATTGTCGTTGAGAATGAACCATCGTCGTTTCCAACTCTTGTAACGTCCGCCTGAAACAATTAAATGTTTTTATTCATAAAGACATTCAAGTATTTAAGAACAAAAGAATACATAGAAAAAAAAAATAATTGAGACAGAGAATTAGTATTTACCTGCTGTCTCCGTTTATAGGGCAGCAGAAGGGGACAAAGTGACAAATTTTGTTTAAGTTTTTTTTTTTTAATTTTTTTTCCTTTTTTTTTTTGCGAAAAAATATATAATTAAAACATTGCTTCTAAACATTGAAAATGAATATGATTGCATTCACACCGTTAGCCATACACGCACTCAAGACAGTGACGTAACAGAATTGAAAATAAGAATTTTTTCCAGCAATTTAAGATTTTAAAAAAGAAGCTTAGAAAAATCAAAGGGATTAGCCTTTTAAAAAAAAATGAAATTAAAATAACAAAGAAATTTAAAAAAGCTGCTTAACCCTTTCAGGATTAAGGCAAGAAGAAATATTTTATTCTTTGATTTTTTAGAATAATATTGTACCCATTTTTTTTTATTTACGGACTAATAAATTTTTAATTCCAAATTCGGTTTGAGAACAAAAAAAAAAGGTTTTGGTCCTCAAAGGGTTAAATTTATCACATTAAATCTTAAAGAAGTTCACGATTATTTTAAAGAAATAATTTTTTTTTGCTATGAAAAATTCTATGAATTTTCGTTTCAAAGACGAATAAAAAATTCGAGAACAAAATTTTGTAGACAATAAATTATATAATTTTGTGTAAAAAAAAAATGTTTTCTAATCGTCGATCATAAACGTTGTGGACTTCGTCTGAAATTGCCAAAAAAAAAAAAAATTAAAAAAACAGAAATAAAAACTTGAATATATTGAAATATTATTTCCTTTTTTTCTTACATAATTAAAAATTAAATAAATGAATATAAAATTGAAATATTATTTCTTTTTTTTCTTTCTTTTTTTCTTACATAATTAAAATTAAATTACAAAGCCGAAAATTAGCAAATTTTAAGCAAATTCAAATATTTTTTTCCTTTTCTTTTATAATATAAAATTAAAAATAAAAATTACCAGTTTCGGAAGTCTTTTTTTTTCTAAATTACAATTTTCAAGATTTTTGTGAGACGCGAGATTACAAGTGAAAGGAATTACAACTACATTTTTATAGTGTTGTTAGACCTCAAGTTCTAACGATTGCACAGTTTTGCTAATTAATAATTATTAAATTTGTTAAAATGGAACAGTTACGCCACTGTTTTTCCCAGAGTTTTCGTCCTTCCTCTACCGCATCTATATATATAATATGTATAATGGTTTGTCTTGTAATGAACTGACGTGCAAAGTGAAAGACGCACGACGAAAAGCAATAAGCGTATTTGCAAGATGGATAATGACGAAATTACCTTGTTTCCAGAGCCAGCCCTCCTTGTCCGGATTGAAAAACGTGTGCATCAGATCGTTACCATCGTCCTCCGGTATTTTGAAAGGTTCCGTTTTTATGCTCTCGTATAGACTCTGAAAAAAAAAATTAATTTTTACTCTAGTGAAAATTAAAAAATCATTTTTTTTCTAATTTCTTAATATTTAATATTTAATATTTTTATCTAAATTTTTCTGTAAAATCACAAATATTTATTTTTAATTGTAAATTTTTTTTTATTGTAGACAATTTTTTCCCTTGTTTATAATTATTAAAAAATATAATAGGAGAGAAAAAATTATTATAATATGCACTAGCAGACACTTAGTAATGCGCTTATATAAATCTATCATTAAAAGAGAGTGACGAAAATTATTCTTTTAACACCCCCTGTAGTTTAGATTAATCAGGCCTATAAAATGCTACGAGAATATTTACAATACAAATTTTTAAATATAATAAAAATTGTTCTAAAAAAATTAAATAAAAATTCATAATAATTATTTCGTATTTGTATTTGTATTAATATTAATATTAATATTAATATATTTTCAATAAATAAATATTTGCATTTACAATAAAAAATATTCAAATAAAATAAAAATTGTTCTAAAAAATTTTTTAAATTCATCATAAAGAATCAATTTGTTATTTTGTTTTTATATACTTTTTTTTTTAATTACTTAATACGCAAAAACAGTTAATCAAGACATTTATTTCTTCAAACGAATGTCATGCTATTGAAACAAGGAAAAACATTGTTCTTTTGAATAATTCATGTATTATTATTATTTTTTCGTTTGCAAAAATTAACATTAATTTTTCATTGTAAAATGAAAAAAATCTCGAATTATCTAAATAATTTATTATTTTCTCTATTCTTTTTAATTTGTAAAATAGCCTAATATACAGTAATAAATCTTCGTGTGTGTGTGTTACAACAATTTCTTGTGATAAAATGATTTATTTAAATCATAATCACTAGATCACGAACCTTATTGTCCCCTCTTATGTTTCATAATTATTTTAACACGTCATTCTCGTTTCTTTTTTTAAATAATATAGTTTCACATCGTTGAGCTTTGAATGTTCAACGATATGCTTTATGCGTTTGTAAATCATGTGATTAAGATTTGCAAAATCAATAATTTATATATACTATTGTGTATTGTATTTTTGAATCACATTTTTATGATTAACAAGAAATGAAAATTTATTCGGAATTTTGAATTATTTTACAATTTTTAAATTCTGTTGGGCAAAAATATTTTCTTTTTTTTTCATTAAAAAAAAATTGCAAATCTCTCACAAAGCAATTGTTCAATGATTGTTCTAAAAATAGTTTTTCAAACGTCATTTCATTATTCGTACTTGAAGAATGAGAATAACATACAAGACTTAATTATTATTTTTTTTTTTTTTTGTTTCTTACGTATAAAAAAAAATAGACAAGTATTTAGAAAATAAGAAACTGATTTGCAATCTGTGATTCACACAGGTGACATAAAATAATCTTTTGAATTAGAAAATACAATATTAATTGAAAAATGTTCTGTACAAAAAAGAAAAAAAAATTCGCATTAAATAAATTTTTAAATTAACTAACAATTATTTAACAAAATAAAGTAAAAAAATATTTTTTTCAACCTTTTTACAAAGAAAAATTTAATTTAAAGTATATAGCAATTATTTACTGTTATTTCCTTTAGAAAAAAAAAAACACAAAAAATCTGACGAGCTAAAAAAAAAACATTTACAATTCAAATGCTAAAATTGTTAAAGCCTAACAAAACAATGAGTCATTGTTAAAAAAAACTTTTAGAGGCATTATTTTTGGTATTCAAATAGAAATTTTTTTTATATTCCACTTTTGAAATCTAAATTTGTGAAATTTACATAAATAAATTCATAAAGAAATAAGAAATCTTAAATTAAATTTTTAAAATTATTACAAAAGAAAAAAAAATTTTTTCTACATTAAGTAATATGACTAAATAAAAAGTGACTTTTAGTGCAAAAATAAAAATTAAAAAACAAGGAAGTGTGAATGAAATCGTCGCATACATAAAAAAAGTAGAAAAATAAATATTGGAAAAGTGCCAAAATTCCTTTTTTAAATATAGTTGTCTGAAAATTCTGACAAATTTTATACACGCTTCAATAGTTGCTCGTATATATATAAAAAAAATTCGTTAACTCTAATCGAATATTTTATTTAAAAAAATAAAACAAAAATTTTAATTAATTGTTAGAATTTCAAAATTTATTTTTAAAAACATAATTTTTTGAAATAATTAATAGAAAACAAAAGGAAATTTTTTTTTTCAATTCCACTTGAAAAATAATTAAACTCACCACAAGAAGTTCTCGTGGAAGATCACCACCGTTATTAATCCCTCGATTCATCGATATAAATTGCTCCACACTTGGTTTGTCTTTGACACTTGGATTATGTAATGAGGTATTTAACATAATTATCGCAAAACTAAGAACATAACATGTATCAGTGTTGGTGAAAATATTTGTATTCAATTGACAATAACGTTGGGCAAAACATTCCATCATTCGATCAATTTTTTGTGCCTCACCGGGCAATCGAAATGACCATAAAAATTGTCTTAACGCTTGTACCAATATTAAATCGGTAAAATCGTGAAGCTCAACAAATGCACGAAGTACCCTTTCATTAAAATCATGTCTCTCGCCAAGATAATCGCCAATTGCTGTTTTATTGAGTCCTTCGCCTTTATAGAGAAATTGTGCAACATCCTCTGGTGTTGCTGTCAAAAGATTGTGTTCAATCAAATATTCGATACCCTTTTTTGGATCCATATTGAATTTTTTACGTCCAATCGACATTTGCTTTGCTTTATTTGATGGTTTCGATTCGTCCGTCGCCAATCCACCTCCTTCCATTGCCTCCATCTCGGCCACAACTTCGCCCAACTCATCTTTCAGTTGCTGTAATAAAAAAAAAAAATGAAGTCAGAATATATGGAGGAATTTTCATCTTTCAAAATTTTATTACAAGTTTATGAATTTTTTTTCCCATGCATTTTATATTACATACTAGCAAAATTAAACGCGCCAAATTGAGTATTTACTTGTTTGTTATAAAGAAATTAAAGATTAATATTATTAATAATAATTTAATTTATTAGAATATTATTACATATTAAATGATAATAATGAAAATTATCTTTTTCAGGCCTCGGATTATACAACTTTTTTCAAAAATACGACTTTTATCGACTTATTTTAATAAAATGCGACATATTTTTTTAACTTTTGAAAAAAAAGTGTAAATAAAATACATTTTTTTAGTATAAAATATAGATCTTCTTCAGATCTTCTTCAATTCAATTATTTAATAAATTTTGAACTAAAATGATTCTTCACTAAATTAATTATTTTCAAATAATTTTAATGAAATACATAACAAATTCAATTATATCAAAATTATTTTTCAATTAAAATTTTTATGAAATTTAACAATTGTTTATAATTTAAAAAAAAATATCACAATAAAATTGAATTATTTTTTAAAAATTTCAATTCAAAATAAACATTATTACCCGAAATTTTAATTCAAAATCAATTAAAAATCCAATAATTATCAAAAATTTAATTATTTACCAAGTTTTCAATTTAAAATGAAATAAAATTCAATTATTTACGAGGCTGAAGTACGCAACGTTTATATAAACGATTTTTAAAGAAATAATTTTTTAAAATGAAAAATTCTATAATTTTTTGCCTAAAAAATATTTCTTGTATTTTTCATTAATCAATAAATTATAAAAAAATATTTTTTAGGCAAAAAATTATAGAATTTTTTATTTTAAAAAATTATTTATTTAAAAATCGTTTATAGAAACGTTGCGTACTTCAGCTTCGTAATTATTTTCTAAAATTTCTGTTTAAAATTAATTATCCAAATTTTCAATCAAAGATGAACTTAAATTAAATTATTATCCAAAATTTCAATTAAAATTTAATTATTTCCCAAAAATTTTCAATTTAAAATCAAATAAAATTTCATTATTCTCAAAAATTTGAATTCAAAATTAATTGAATTTAAAAGCATTTAAAAATTAATTATTTCTAAAATTTTCCATCGAAATTTTTTTTTTTTTTGAAATTTAATAATTTTAATTATAACTCTATAAGGAAATTCAATTATTTTTAAATATTTTAATAATATTCTTTGAAAATTCAACTATCTGAAATCATTTTTTATATGCGCCAGGAATTTATTATATTTATTTGTATCAAATAATTTTTATTTAAATTAAATAAATTGTATTTGAACCAATAATTTCTTTATTTGGAAATACCATGCCAAATAATAATTATTTGATACAAATAAATATTTATTTGATAATAATCAAGTAATCGAGTATTTGAATCAAATAAATTTTTTTTCAGTATAATTTATTTTATAATTACAATTTATTTTATTTTTTTATAAAGAATTACGTCAGTAAAATTTGTACAAAAAAATTTATTTTACACTTGAAAAATAATAACTAATTTTTTACCTGAATTTTTCTTTCAAAAAAAAAAAAAAAATTGATCAAGAAACGAAAAATTTTTTTTGAATGAAAAATAATAATTTGCGTATATAGAAAAATATTTTTTCTTCTAAATCGTTTGGTTTTCGACATAAAAAATTGTAAATAAATTTTTTGCCATTAAAATTTTTGTCATTTAAATTAATTTTTTTTTTACATATATTAATAAAAAAATCGCTGAAATCGAATTTGTTTTTGTTAAATCGATTAGCCTGAGAATTTACAGATCAGTTTCAATTCGTGCCAGCGCAAAATTAATTTGGTCTTATTAGAACGATGGAATACAGGAAGTTTTCGTGTCTATCACTTTAATTAAAGTAAAATGAAACTTTAATTAAAGTTTAGATTATATTTTCTCATTCTTGTTGTGAAAAATTATGAAACCGTCAAAAAAGAGACTAGAATCGTAATTACTATTGAAATTTAATGAATTTTGCATTTAAAATTCACATTTTTTTTTTATTTCTAATATTCCAATAACAATTATATGAAATTTTGTGACAGAAATAAAAAAAAAAAATATGTAGAAAATTATGTTTTAAAAAAAATTTTTTTAATTTTAGGTGACTATTTTTTGAAAAAAGAAAGTTTAGTTTATTTCAGGCCGGATATAGTTGAATCGACGACGACATGAAGAGATTCTTTGATCCCCCGGAAGTCTTCAGGACTAACACGTGTTATTACAAAACGTGTTTGGAGAATATTTATAGTTCCCCGTTCATGACAATCTACTTTCGGTTATTTTATTTTTTTTTTTCTTCTTTTTTTGAGAAATCAATTTTTAAACTATTTTTGAAATTAAATTTCAAAGCACCCTTCTATTTTCTCGTTTTAATTGAATTTAATTACTTTTTATTATGTCTCGTTTAATTAAATATATAAATACTCGTAATTTATTTGTCAAAGTGAATAAAACCCAATGAAAAAAAGGAAATTGTCCCGTTTATTATTAAATAAATAAATAAAAAAAAATACCAAATAAATAAAAAATCAATTAAAAAATAATTAATAATAATTTAATAATAAATAATAAAATAAATAATTAAATGAATTTAATGAAAAAATACGAAATAAAATACATTTTTCGAAAAATTGCAACCAAACTATAAATAAAATATAAATAAAGAAAAGAAAAAATATTGATTGAGCTACATATTCAGGTGAGGCAAGGTAAATAAAATGTTTCATAAAATCTTATTATCATGAGTATGAATGTATGGATAATATATGAAGATAAAACCGACTGAGACGCGAAGCCCTTGAAGAACGTGATTATATGGAGCTTCTTTTATTTTCCATCACCTCTCTCTACGTTATAAGACATCTCGTGGAAGACAAGAAAAAGAAAAGATAGAAACCATAGAAATTGTTGTCGTTTTTTTTTTTCAAAATAATATAATATAAATATATAAATAAAATATTCACACAAAAAAAGTCTAAATTAATTTTTTTTCTATTTTCAATGTTAAATTAAATCAATTTAGTAAATTTAAGATATAAAAATAAAATAAATAGGTGTTTCTTAAATTTCGCAAATAAAATAAAAATGTCAAACGAAATGATTATTGTTAACATTTCCATATTACACGCAGTATAACTAATTATAATAATTATCCTCACGTTCACAAACTTGACCCTGGTAGATAGATATACTAGATAAATAAAAAAAAAAAAAAAAAAAACATAAAAAAAATTATACTGGTCTATACTATTTTCCCTCAGTTAGAAGAGGGACAATATTCTCGAAACATGCAGACTGCAATTTGCGTTATCGATCTCTCGACGAACCCTTTTGCAAAACCCATGACCGTCAGAGGTTTTGCACGCAAACATAACATATTTATAATCAAGAGAGATAGTTCGTAGATTTGTGGAATGTAGATATTCATCGGTAACTATATAGAGTAGAAAAAAGAAAAAAAAATAAAGACACCTTTATGAATACACAAAACTGCGTACCAAGAAATAAATGTGTGTGAGGGTTGAAGAAAATAACCTGAAGGAAAGCACCCTCCAGCTACACACTCTGTAATTATTATTTAACGCAGATAGAGAGTTGAGGGCTTTATCCTTTAGGGGAAAGTTTGAAAATTACCCATGGTTCAAATGATATTATTATATAAAAAAAAAGGCTGATCAATAAAACGGAAAATTCAACCCTTTTTTTATAAAGACTTTGCAATTTTTAAATTTAATATTAATATAAAAATAAATTTAAACAAAATAAATATAAACAAAATCGAATAAAATAATAAAAATAAATAGGTATAATAGTAATATTTTATTCTTATATTAATATTATGCCTCGAAATATTTATTATCAATATTTATTATTATTATTATTATTATTATTATTATTATTATTATTATTACAGTGAAAAAAAATTTATTTGATTCAAATACTCGATTACTTGACTATTATTAAATAAATATTTATTTCTATCAAATAATTATTATTTGTCTCAATTAAATTGTATATGTTTTAAATACAGAAATTATTGGTTTAAATACAATTTATTTAATTCAAATAAAAATTATTTGATTCAATTAAATATTTATTTGATAATGCTCTAGTAATCGAGTATTTGAATCAAATAAATTTTTTTTCACTGTAAAATCAGTAATTGTATTGCATTGTCAAAAGAATAAAAAATTATTAGTATTATTGTTATTATTATTATTGTTATTATTATTATTATTATTATTATTATTAATATTATTATTATATTCAGTATAATTAAGTAAATAAATAATAATAATTATTATTGTAAGCCCGTTTACTCGTTTAGTAAAAAATAAAACAAATAATAACTATCAGATAATAACAAATGGTAAAAAATATAATAATATAAATAATAAACAAATTATTATTATTATTATTATTATTATTATTAATATGATAAATGTATAATTGATAGTCTAAGATAAAAATAAAATTACGATTAGTAAACGAAAAAAAGTGAATAAAAATTATAATGTTTGTGCAGATATACGAACCAATTATATTTAATAGTAATTTCCAAGTATAGTTACCATCGATTAATAGAACCATTAAAAAGAATATTAAATTCGTTTTGCAACCCAGCAAGTGATAAAATTGTGTCTATAGAATTTTTTGTAATTTTTTTTTATTTATTTGTTATTTACAATTTATTTGTAATGATTAAAAAAAATTGTGACATATGTTTAATTAGATAAGAAAATGTAATCATTGCGAAAAAATTTCATTTATCAAGTTTTAATTATTATATAATAATATATAACTAAAAAATAGAATTTAAAGAATAATTTTATATATATATATAAACGCAAAGCTAAAAATAGTTAATTAAATTTCATTTTTTATATCAAAATATATGTCACATATACATTTATATAATTAATTCA